CTCACCAGGCCCACTTGTGATCGCAGCCAGCGCACAGATAGATCCCGCACTTCATTACCATCAATGCAAACCTGACATAAATAATTTAGATTCCAATGTGATACAATTATGTATAAAAAGCATTAAAAGGTATTTTATTATGTTTTAATATAACAGGTCAACTTATGAATTTTATGTAAAAGCTAAAGTAATTACAATCCTTTATGTTTACGTCTTACTGTCTTATCTTACTAATATTATATATGCAAATGGTTGGATGGATGATGTTTGTTTGAAGGTATCTCCGGAACGGCTGTACGGATCTCGCTAAAATTTGGCATAGATGTAGAACATATGTATTCTATAAGAACACATAGACCGGCTCGCGGGCATTAGCTATATCTACATATATAAGTCAAAAAACGTGGCATTAGTAACACCATTTAAAACCTAAGAACAGTTTTATTAAGTTCCCTTTTTTCATTCCATGTGGTCATAGTTGCGGGCAAAAGCTAGTTTATTATAATATATACATAATTCTCATTTTATGTGTTATCTGTTAGTTCCATAGTATGAATCAAGTTTACCAGAGTAGATGATTGTTGATATAAAATAGTGATATAACTATTTGCACACCAGTCTGAACACGAGGCTGATATGATGTACGAGTACATCAAATATTATAATCTAATCATATTATATTGTATTAGTTTGTCCAGTAAAGAACTAAATGTGCTTAAAGGTAAAATTATGGATAATTGGTAAGAACCACGTGAGATTCATCAAAGAAGGTTAAAGGAAGAACTTATTAAATTTCCAAAAAAATCCGCTAGTAATTGAATTTTTAATATTTTCTGTTCTTGTAATGCAGTCGTGTTAACACTTACACTGCCGTCGACGACGTCGTAGTAGCGCGATATGAGCTGTATGATGGTGGACTTGCCGCATCCCGAGTGACCCACTAGTGCCACAGACTGACCTCTCTTTACGGTTAGGTTCACTCCTTTCAACACCTATTTTTATTAAACATTCAGTCAGATATAGAAATGTTAATAAATCGATTTATAAATAGACTAGAAGTTCATTAGACTAGCCTATCCTGTTGTGTCGTATGTCAATATATGTAATATTTTACTTTATATGTACTGAATATAGAGTTTAGAAGGCATTTTTTAACTGCGGCAACTGTGAGGTCAAGTTTCCTAAGTAATAAACATTGCTAGCCTCAAGAATCAACAATTGTATGCAAAATCATGACAAAACGAAATAAAAAATTATAAATCACATACGGGAACATCTGGTCTTGACGGATAGTGGAAGATGACATTCCTGAGTTCTATATCGCCTTTGATTGTAGCAGGAGTAGATCCACGGTTCAACAATGGGTTTATCTTGGGCAGGTTGTTGATAAGCGTGAAGATTTGCACGCCCGCGCCGCGTGCCACGCCGAACACTTCCATTAACATTGACGACATTCCGAATTGACCTGTACCGGTCATGACACCGAAAAAAACCTAGAAATGAACTCAAATGTTAGGAGCTTATTGTTAGGTCACAGACGCATTTTTAAGATTACGTATTGTTAGGAAGCAAACTAGACTCTGTGCCGGTGTATCGACGCAACACTCTACTTATTCTGACACTTGACTTGGTAAAGAAAGAGTGCCATTCGCACCAAAGAACTCTAGCTTATAATGTCTAAAAGTATTTACTTAAATTATTCAGTCATTAATCATACATTTTTGAACTTTGTCGCACTACTAACTAAAGCTAAAGTAAACTATCAACATACAAAATAACAACCTCAAAATGTGTAATGTCATTTTTTCTACTTACCGCCAACATAGTGTTAACATCGTATGTTTCAGGTTCATCGAACATCAACTTGAAGCCGAACCAAAAGGATAGCGCGTAAGAACCGAAAATGCAAAAGTATAGAACTCCCATTGATATACCGTTGTACAAGGCTGGAAAATTAAAAAAAGTAAAAAAATTATAAACTAAGTATTAAAAAATATATAGGCAGTAAAGTAGATTTATTACCTTTTTTGATATTGTAGTCTCTTGCTTTAATTAGATGTTTTTCGTATCTTTTAACATCTTTATCCTGTCCACTGAATGCATAGACGGTGCGTACCGCTGTGAGAACTTCCTCTGCTATTGAGCCCGCTTTGCCAGTTGCCTCTGCTTCTTTCTTTGATAGTCGAGAGGAAATCTATTGATAAATGCACGTGTATAATTTCTGCTTTATGCTGTTAGTAATATAATTTATTGGCACAATTTTTACACAATTTCTATTCATGTCCGACTTGTACGATTGTCATTTTAAAGTTGCTTACTTTCTCTTCATTTTTTATGAATAGTAATTTCTGACCATTCTGTCTTTGTTGACGATGGAGTCGTAATATCTTTACTATTTACATTTTTATCATTTAAAATTCCAAAGAATGGCCGCCCTGACACAAACATAGATGTATAAATAAAATATATCTTACCCATCCTGCCATTGCTACAGGTATGAACGTGATCGGGAAAGATATGAGACATAGCAGCGCCAGCTTCCAACCCTTAATCAGAGCCATAACGACGCAACCCACAAACGATGATTGATAGAAAATGAAGTTAGACAATTTCTCTCCAATGCCGTCTTCCACTTTACTTATGTCGCTGTTGAAACAGGAAAATACGTAAATAAATAGCAGATTTTCTGAAAAGTGCCCTTTTTAACCACTTATTTGGGTGAAAGGGTTACATAATATTTTGTAATTCGTGGAAGTGTAGCGCCCTTTCTCCCCAGCGCCCTGGGCGGTCGACTAACCGCGCCCTACCTTGACGCTGGTACTGCAAACGGCTTTTTAACTCACTCACTTCATTGTAAGTACAGTAAAATAAATTCGTGTTCCGTTTGGGATCCAGTTACGGTATTTGACCACAAGTTACCATAAGAGCGAGATAAATAATTGTTCTGAACTCAATTTAAAAATAACGTTACTTACTCTGTCATTTTCTGTGCAAAATCTCCCGTTTGGTGCGTATCGAAGTACTCAAAATCTTGATTCAAAGCAGACCTTAGATACTCGCATCTTATGTTATACACCTGTTAAATTAAACACATTATAAATAATTTTTATGTGGATGATTTAACTGATACTGACGCACTCAAAGTAGTTATGTTGACCCCCTTAGTATAGATGTAGTTTGAGAAAACACGAAAAGTCTCTTTTAGTTAGCAATTAACAACTGTGAGTAAGGCAGTAAGGCAGATAATTTACTCAAATGTACCCTTGCGGGGTTAAGGCCATCACTTTTGCTTTTATTATTTTAAAAAAAATAGTATAACTAAGGAGTTTTACCTGATTAAGGGCAGCTACGTTCATAAGTACTGTCGCTGCGTAGGATATAATAAATGCGACCAATCCTAGTACACAATTGTATATAACGAAATCAGTAATGGCCTTTAGGAACGCTTCGTTCTCTGGAGCCCCCGCGACCACTGATTGACCGTAGTTAACCATTGCTTGCAATACATCGGAGAACAAGATAACACTGAGAGGTACCGTTATACCGCACAATGTCGAAAATAGGATGGACAGAAACATATATATCTTGTCCGATGTACTGGCAAATCGAAACTGCAATTGAGAAAGGATTGTTCTTATTTTCTTGTTTATTCGTATGATTGAACGTAAAAACTTGAGTTAGACCAACAAAATAACTTACATATAACAGTTAAATCTTACTAATATTATAAATAATAATGGATAGATAGATGTTTGTTTGAAGGTATCTACAGAAACGCTTCATGGATCTCTCTGAAATTTGGCATAGATGTAGAATATAGCTAGTAATTAGGTATTTTTTAATTCCGCGCGGACATAATTGCGCACAGCTAGTAAATAAACAAAAAAAAATTTTTTTTGACAAACTTACCAATGTGAAAAACGATACATTCTGAATATTTTTGTCCTTTTCTTTGGCGCTGTAATTATAAAATTTATTAAACTTCTTCGATATGAACACTACTATAATAATAAAAAAAAACAGCCGAAAGCAACTTTTTAAACCTAATATAGTAAAACAACCCTACACCATTTTGTTTTCAATTTAATTCACTTATATTGATTTAAAATATCCAAAGTTTTACTCACTCATTGGCGTCTTTAACTGATCCGTTCATATAATCAGGTTTAACAATATCAATTGGAGAACTCACGTCCACACTTTCGGCCTTTGGGCTCATATTAATAAACAAAACACTTCAATACTTTTCATAAATTGATATAAACGTGTCACATTCGCGAGTCCTTTCAAATATAAACTGGCGTCATCCAGATTAATTCGTACACTTATATCTGTTGTACGTCTAATTACTAATTAAACAGATGAATACAAAACACAAACGTTTCTTATTACGGTTCCGTTATTTAACTTGATTAAATTATTTTATTTAATTGACTTACATAATATCTATTTTGTCAATTTTAAAGAAAAAAAGTCGCGATGTAAACGGAACTGTACTAATACAATGCTTACTTTTTTAATGTTATTTATTACCTTTGGAGTTCGATCGCTTTTTGACAAAGATGACTAGCCTCTGAAATATTGTGTTACACAGTATGATCTTATTCGCGGAACTCTAAATATAACAAGAGTAAATCTATGCAATAAAGATTACTTATCTTCAAACATCTGCCATTTTGCGACTAATAAACATTGTAAAAATTAATTAAAGATATATAAGTAGTACTAAAACACATGTTTGTGTTGTAATTTCGGATTTTACCTGTAAATTTCGTATAGAATACGAAGATTTCATCATTATAAAGGTACCTACTTTCTAGCGTTTAAACAATTTCATTAAGATAATGTGTCAATGTTATTTATCATATTAATAACTGTCGCATATTGCTGGTCGCGAATATTTTGTTGGGGAACGTAAGCTGAAATCGGAGCATTGCCAAACGCTTCGGAGTCATCGCATACAAAAAGAAATGTACAGTGATTTTTATTTTTAAATTACATCAATTGATACTCTGCAATATAATAATTGTGTAAGTAACGACCACTGATGCCATAGACACCAGCAAAGAATAATCGAAGCGGAAAAAATACGACATATGAAACGTGATTGCTCTTGACTGTACTAAATCTCGCAAAACATTTAACGCCGATCGAACTTCTTTACCTGTAACAAGTTTTTTTTTTATGTATTTAGTTAATATTTTCAGAACAAAATTAACTCTATATGTCTAACTTTAAATACAATCAGATATTGAGACTTTAATTCATTAATTATCTATCATACTAATATTATTATCGCGAATGTTGGATGGATGTCTTTGAACGTATCTCCAGAACGGCCGAACGGATCTTGATGAAATTTGTCATACATATAGATTATACTCTGGATGAACACATAGGCTAATTTAGTATCTTAATAACTCCGCGCGGACTGAGTTGCGGGCGGCAGCTAGTTAAATAAATAGTACAGGACCTTTTTTTCCAGAGAGGAATGCTTTATGCATACTCCGCGCCCCGGGGGGGACGCGGTAGTTGTGTGGGATTCTCCTCCATAGCGGAGGCATACCCACTAAACCTCTCTGCTCCTCCAACACATCGGGACGGGGCCACGGGCACGCTTTCGCTCTCACCCGCGGCCCCATCTGCGTCAGCTGCCTAGGCAGCTCTCTCTCGGGGGGGATGTAGCCCTCAGTCGACGGTGATGGACTCCCCCGTATCCATAGTACAGGACCTAGCGGCTTTCTAGGTACTAAAAAGCTTTGAATCCGCGCTCGTTATCTTTGTATTAGTACTCGTAGCTCTATTATTAGTTTATATTGTAAATGGCTTATATTTAATCAAATAAATTATAATTAGTCAAATGTCTAAATTTGTCAATGCACACGGAAATCCTCGTTTCTATTGATACTTAGCGGAAAAACCATATTTTTACGATAAGAGTCTTTTTAATCAGGCTAAGATATGAAGTAATTAACTGTGTTTGCATTGCACAGCACACGCCACAAATAAAAAGATTTCATTCAACAAAATATAATGTAATTTTTACTCTTGTTATGAAATATAATTAATCATCATTAATATTATTAATTAATATAATTAATGTGCATCCTCTCCTCCGTCGATTAAAGGTAGCATCGCATATGCAATTGCGTATGTCTATAGGCAACGTTCACTTCGCTATTTGAGCGATTTCAGGTGGCCGCTCGCTCGTTTGCCTCCTCATAATATAAAAAAAAGTCATGTCTCACTTTTATAATTATAAATTGCATGCTTACTTGGATCTCTCATAACAAGGTAATGGTCCAAAATGCAAATAATTCTATCTCTTTCCCGATATGCCCTTTCACAGTGATGCACCAGAGAGATGACAACAGCAGCACACGTTAACAAACGCATCAAACTGGATATCGTAGGAAAATAGTCAGTGTCAATATTTTTCTGCAAGTGACAGCATTCATTTGAAACTTGTAGCACATCCTACTCACTAGTACATACATTAAATATGCAGCAAGTATTGGGCATATCTTTTGATATAACCAAAGCAAAAATAAAAAATAAGTTTCTTAATCATATTACCTCAGAGATGATAATGTACCTCACAGCTATGTTTGTAAACCTCACCATGTCGATGAGTAAACTCAAACTATTCAACAGTATCTGAAAAATACCTGCTAATGTTAATATTTATTTGAAATAATAAGCAAAATGAATTTAGGCTAATTCAGGTGACCGCTTGCTCTTTTGCCACCTTATAGTATAGAAAAGAAAACATTTATCATGAAAAGAGACGAAAACATGCACGTAGAAGAAGCGTGGCAAATGCAACACAACCGCATACAATGCATAAAGAAGTTCTATTGGATATAGAAACGAGTTTTACCTAAATTAAAAACAAAAACAGTAGAAAAAATGTGAACATGTCTCGATATAAGATATAGGTACAGTCGAATCTGGATAGGCGAGAGTTTAAGGGACTTAAACTGAGTTACTCGTTTACGGAGGTCGTCCCTCGAGACCGGACTATGACTTTCGTTTATAGAGATTTTCGGCTTATCCAGGGTCGAACGTAAATATTAAGATACGCATTTCCGTTGTCGTATGAACGAAAGCTTAGATACGCATGCTTACCCGCAATCCATACATTTTATTGATAAATGCACATTGCTCTATCAGTAGTAGATAATATTTTTCAAGAAATTTTATTTTATCTGTTACATTAGAGTCAAGTGTCTTCAGAGATGGCTCTGGTACGTTGCCCACTTTATTATTAGGATAAAACAAATTATATTTAAAAGCGCAATCTTCAACAAAATCTTGTTCCTTTCTTTCATCGCAATAACAAGTTAATAGTACATCTCCAAGACAACTTAAACGGCATTCAATTTGCATTACTTGTGATGTGAGATCTAGGGTTGTTAAGATCTTTATAAGTAAGTAAACATAGGCAATGGAATATACGAATGGAGCCAACCATCCGAAAGTAAAAACCCATGCTGTAAAGTCACAAACACTACTCATCGCCCAAATCAAAGCGAAGAAAGTAATCAATTTCAAAAGTCTTAATTTAATTTCAGAGTAGTAGCTCATACCAATAATATTATCAATTCTAATATACTGTTTGAAATATTCAAAGCTCATGTCTCGTCCGTAGACTAACACAAAAAATATATCAACTAAATATTGACATAAATCGTACATCATTTGGATTGCATCGGTTATTTTAATAGAAATATTAATTTCGCTGTATAATTTAGTAATCTTCCAATATAAGGAGAAGATGGTTAATGATCCCAGAATAGATACCATTACAATACTCTTGCAGATCAAGTAACAAGTAGACTTGTCCTTGTTACATTTTAATGAAAATAATTTAAGCAATCGACAAAGTGGTTTCATTGAATCACATGTTCGCGAAATAGTTCCAACATTGTTCTCTGTCACTATATTAGTTTGCATGTTGAGTGCACCGATTTTACCACAGTTAAATATTGACTAGAGACCAGTTTCCACGCGATTCTGAAGTGGACACATTTCACGGAACACATTTTATACCGTGTCACGTCAACTAAATGGGGTAGAGTAATTGAATACATTTCAAACGGTATAGAGGGTGGAAGCTTTTTCACCTTTTTTATTTAAGTAGTGTTACTGTTCTTTTTTTTAGTTTTTTCTACGTGTTTGATTTCGAAATTAAAATGTTCGTTTTATAGAAATCACATCTGTTCTCATTGTATGGCATTTCGCGCTTTCACGTATGACAATAGAACTATAATATTTTATACATATTAAATCGTTGTGTTTTCATACATTTCCTGTAGCGGGTATGGTCCAAATTAATATTTTATTCAGTCCACGCAATTCTTTCTATATTTCTAAATACACCAGCAGTTTACAACTGTCCTATCGGCGTGGGTTACTTCGTAACAATTAAATTTGAACTATTTTTTAGAAAATACAAACTCTATAGCTAATCCTAACTAAGCCATTTTAGGTTTAATTTTTATGGTTAGCATTTCTTTCCGCCTTTTGTCTATTGAAATAATATTAATATTTTAGAAAAAACGCATAACTTAGGTTGTAATTTGGCAATTACATAAAAAATTCAACACCATGTTTGTGTTCAATTATAGTACATTTTTTTATTGTATTCATTACTTTAAACGCGTTACTGTGACACGATCGATTGTTTTTATTAAACTCGAGTGGAAATATTAATAAACGTAATGGAAAACTAAATGAACTATTCGCGGAAAGCCGAAAAGCTATAAACTTATGACGCAATAACACAAATTGTACAATTAAAGCAATATCACTGATAATACAATCTGATAGAAAATACAATTCTATCCTTATAATAAACTGAAATAAATAAATAAAGAATATAGTAGTATTAAGTACCAAAAGTAGACTCGAGTATTCCCGTAATAAATAATCAAATAAAGATATTTGGGCTGGTGAAAGAGGCGCTGCTGTCGCGGTTATAAAATCTATCAGGAATTATATAAAACCCATATTAGCCATTTTGTCGTTGCCCCCTATAATAAAAATATTATTTATAGCCATGAAATGCAACATTAACAGAAATAAAACAGTGGCGAACAAAAATGTCAGTTTAGACTTGAACATGATTATGTCAATGACTGTTTTAGGTACTAATATCAATAAAAGGTGTATATGAGAAAAAAAATATTAAGCAATCACAAGGTCCACGAGTCATAATTTTCTGTTTTTGTTAAATCAAAAGTTCTCTTTGCACAGAATCAACTATTTGAATTGTCAATGGTAGGAAATATTTATTATCTTTAGCTTTTTAAAAATCTCTGGTTAGTGTGACATCTGTCAGAATTAATTAGTTATGAGCCATTATTATTTTGTTAATGTTATCTTTTATAAATAATATTCATCCACATTCTTTAGCTGATCAAGTACAAAGTTTAAGAAATGTTTACTGCCTTGAAGAGTTGATAGAGAAAAATATGTGATTGAATACTATTTCTCTTATGATTAGGGAGCAATGTCAACAGCAACTTTTTAAGTTTTGCACTGAGTAAGAATAGGATTTCAATGTTATTTGAAACTTAGTCGTATTCCTAAGTAAGTAATTTTCTTTATTTATAAATAACTTGATTTGAAAAACTCAAAAACCTAACAATGTATTGACTATAGATGTGTTGTTTACGCTTATTATGATTCAATTTTTTCTTAATTCTTTCAGAAATGGGAGGATGTCGTTGTTCTTATCGTAATTGTGCTGTTAAGTCTGATGGAAAAACTCATATGTTCCATTACCCGGTATTTGATAAAGTAAGATGCCATCAATGGATTGTGAATGCACGTCGTCTCGATTTTTTGGATTTGAAAGTGTCGCAAGTTAAAAACAGAGTTATTTGTCAACATCACTTCAAAGATGAATGTTTCATGAATTTCACGGTATGTATTTATGATTTATAATTTTGTATTATGGAGATATAAGATTAATAATTAATACATATTTATTTTCAATTTCAGAAAGGGAAACTTACCTTTGAAGCTGTACCTACTGAGGATGGACCTTATTGTGACTCAAGTAAATTAGTTGATAACTCACATGAGTTTTCAAAGCATTACCCTATAGTTGTTGAAGATATAGAAAATGATTTATGCCCATTAGATGATAAGAAAGCAAACTTTTCCCTAAAGTATTCAGATTTTTTAACGAATTCCGAGACTCCTGAATCATCATTCTTAAAAACTGAAGATAACAAATTAAAGACAACACAATGTGCTAATTTAGCTGATATTAATTTTATTTTAGGAAACAATTTAGATGATAAGTTAAATAACATTAATATTAACCAAGGTCTAGATGACGCGGATTTATTTAATGAAAAATTGACTGCAATTAAGAATAACATAAGAAAATCACAACAATTACACCCAGTTCTCATTGTGCCACCATTCACACAGATAACTAATTTAGGAACTACTAAAAATGAACATTCTGAAATTAATATAAATTCACTTAACAATGCAATTAAAAATGATATGATTTTACCCAAACCAAAACCAAGAGTAAAGATTATATCAGAGAAGAAAGTAACAGAACCAGTTTTGTTCACGGGCCAATTTACACCTATATCCCCATCTATTGTAGTTAATCCAGTTTTGAAACAAAATATTCAAACACCAAGCAATATAGAGCAAACAGAACCTAAAAATGTATCCTTAAATCAAAGTATAGAACAATTGAATTTAATAGAAATTACCGTCCCACCACCAGAAGAACAAAGACAAAACATTACAATACAAAATGATATTATATTAAATGAAACAAACAATACAACTCAGAATGTTGTAACTTCAAAGACGTTATTAAAAAATAAAATTCCAACTAAAAGAGTAGCAGATAAACAAGAAAAAAGAAAATTTAATAAAAAATTAAAAGATGTAGAATCACCTGCTATAAAAATAGAAGAACCTAAGCATGAGGAAATCAAACAAATAGAAGAAATTGTTGAGAATTGTCAAGAAAATGTTCAAACAGAACCTGAAATAAATACATTACATATAATAAATACACAGAATGACGATTATTTATCTCGTCTCGAAGCCAGAATGACAAGAATGGAAAATTTATTGTTGAATAAAATAGATCAAAATTCACAGAAAATAATTGATTTAACACAATCACTAGGAACTTCAACGCAAAAGAATAAAGGAGTATCAACTCAGACAAATGATAATATTGCACTTTATAAGAAATATTTATATACAGAAATATCTCAATATTTAAGTTCTGAAACGAAAAATATTCTTTACGAGGAACTATTTATTAATGAGCAGTTTTCACAAAAATCAAATTTGAGATCTACAAGGTTAAAACGGAGAAAGTATAGATAACATTGCATTTCAGAATTACAGAATAACATATAAAGATGTCAAATGTGTCAAAGACATACTCTGCAAGATTTTCTGCTACTCATAGAGAAAAATCTAAGCAGCTTGTTGAATTGTTGGTGATTATCAGAATTATAAAAACTGTCACCATATTGCATATAAATATGTAATTTCATTGAATGATTTAATAAAAAAGCCGATTGAAGTCCTCATAGGCAAGAATTTTTATATTCTTGGTTAGACTATAATTTATATTTTTATATGCAAAATGTTTTTTTTAAAGCAATGCAACAAGAAATGAAATCATGTAATAATTAGGATGCCAATTACTCTAGGTAAGAGAAACAAAAGACATCATGTTTCTCAACTTTGGTCAAGTGGGTTTACGATTAAATAAAAGAGGCTAATTATTGCTTTTGTCTTCTAAGAGATTTAAAAAAAAGCATCCCTATGATCATTTGTTTTAGCCATTCAAGTTATAATTTTTGATTGAATATTATTATTGCAAATAATGTGAAGAATTAAAAAGTAGTCAAAAATTTCTAGTAATGCATGATAGAAGTACAAACTGTATGGAAAAAAATAGACCAAAACAGGAATCAATTGATTAAGGCTACGTCATAGACAAAGAATTCTATAATTTTTTTTAAAATAAAACCAGCATGTGTTTAAATATGGTGTTGGCATATAACTCATTGAAAATTATTTTAAGTAAGGGAGTGTTCATATGTAATATAATTTTGAATTTTACATAATACTTTATTAAAGATACTTTCTTTTGGACTTACATTTTTTAATTACTCTTACCCTTCATGTTCTTACTATGGCACTTTAGTAATTGTTGCATCTGAAAAGAATAATACAATTATGAATTATTATTAAGCACAGCGCCATCTTTGTTTTAGATTTTTATTTAACATCTTACTGAAATTATAAATGCGAATGTTTGGATAGATGGATGGCACATATGTAGAAAATAGTGTTGAAGAACACATAGGCTACTTATTAGGTTTTTTTTTAATTCCGCGCGGATGGAGTCGCTGTCGAAAGCTAGTTTTAACTTAATTTATATACGCCTTTGATCACTAAGATATTTAACTTTGCTGACTAAAAACCGATAACCGACTATTCGAATTCGAGAATTTTTGGGGGACTGTTATTGTTTATTCAAGTCGCTGGCTAATTTGATGCCTGGCTTACCTTTTTCCAGAAAAGTAGGACAGTAGCTGATGCCAGTTCAAATATAACGATATGTTTCAAACGGAGATTTTGGTCTCAGAAACTCACGGTTAAAAGAATATGAATTACACCTTACTCAATGATGAGACCAGATGTTTGGGCTACGTGCAACACACAGGAAGTCACAATGGAATGGACAAGTGGGAAACAAATTACTTTCCCTTCGTACAAAAATGAAAAATGATGTTTCCTTTATGTTAATTAATTTAGAATTTTGATTAATAATTCCTTCCTGGCGCGGTCTGGCTCGCCTCGTACCCAGTCATCAGTCAGTCGGGAAGCAGGTGTCGGTCGAGCGTGACGTGTGAACCATAGTATTGTGGTCGCGACTTCGCCGAACCAACTGTTATCTCTTATCATTATAAAAATGATACATCGAATTACCTCATGAGCGTGATAAGAAGTACTCCACTACACTATAAACGGTCCTTGTGTTTCTGATTGAGTACGTTGTATTATTACGAGATAAAATCGTAAAAAAATATATTTCGGTTATAAAAATCATGAGAAAATTTATATTACAAAAATAGTAATTAAAATTGCAGTGTTGAATTTGTAAGAAAATGAAGTATTTAGTGAGTTTTTCTTTGTTGTTTATGGTGCATTCGTGTTACTGCAGTCCATGTAAAACAACTGAAAGTTTGAACATAACAAATGGTGTTGAATTTGACAATGGTACTGTGTTATTCGATGGAGTGCAATACACACGAGAGACTTGGTATGACCTGGAAGAAGACGGAGTAGTTACCAGATACGGCTGTCCTTGCATCGGTAGAACTTGCATGTGGAAATGTTGCGGCGAAGGGCAGGCTTTTTTCAACAAATCCTGTCTAAACACAGACTATAGTGCAGTGAATCCTTTTAATCCTCCAGTTCACAAAGGAAAAAACCAAGTGGATTTCGCATCTAACAAATTCTTTTACATGTATACAAAATTATGTACCGAGAGATATCTGGTAGACCCGAATACTGGCGTAGAAGATATATTTATACAACAGGTATATTTTCTTAATTTAAGCATTAGCGAGAATAATTAACGACTCTTTAAAGCGGGCAGCGTATGATTTATTTCTACCCCCATGAATTACGGAGGAGAAAATAAATATTTATGTATTTAAATTGCTTATAAATCTATAATTAATTACATTTATATAATAACATTCTTTCCCGGAAAGTAATGAAATATGACATGTCTGACAACAATGTAGCAACTCATTATTTACACTCACGTTAGTCCTTGTTGGGTTATCCTTAAGTCAATATTGGAATAGGCCTTTAGCCCACTTAATATAGAACTACAAGAGATGTTCAGTATTGTTCGAAGTTTCAAGTTAGCGTATTTCTGTTTAATATTTAAGACAAGGTGTTTTTATTTTCTCTTTTTATTCTAAGGATTTTTTTTTCTTTAACTTCAGCACGCAGATCAGCTACCAATTTTACAACGGTAGTATTGCTCCAATTGGTTAAACAAAACCTTTTTCTTTTCGATGATTAACAACTAAGTTAGTTTACATGAATTAATCTGTTACTAGAAACATTGCACATGCTTCTTATGTCCTGTTATCAACGTGTTAACAAATGATAAGATACGAAAATTGTATTTTGTATTGTGAATATACTATATCGTTTTGTTAATCTTACTAATATTACAAGTTGGAATGTTTGGATGGATGAAAGAATGTTTGTTAAAAAATATCTCCAGAATTACTGCATGGATCTCGCTAAAATTTGGCAGAGATGTCGAACGTATCCAGGAAGATCACATAGCCTACTCATTTTCTTTAAAAGTTTCTTTAATTCCGCGTAGACGGAGCCGCGGGCGATAGTTAGTCTAAAATAAAACTTATAAGAATAGAAGAATAAGCAATGATTATCATTTTTTCGTAATTCGTAAGATCATGATTTGAATTAGTTTCTGTAAAACTAGAAAATGCTCGAACTGAAAATGGAAGCTTTTGTTTTACTGTTGTAGCAAAAAAGTAACTTAAAATTATTTTTAATTTATCTGAAAGGCTTTCTGTTTGTTCTGAAATATTAATATATTCGCGCCTTAACCTTCTTCATATTTTATACCGTAGAATTTATCGCAGTGTCTTGTCTAAAATATAATATATTTCTTTCTTCAGTTACATAGAAGCTTAAATGTATTTTATAATACATCAATAGCCCAAGTCTTTAATGTCCATAAGATGCATAGCATCGTAGTTAGACCTTTAGTCCAGTAGTTACTACAGGTATTACCTGTTGGGCCGATCGGCCTACCCATCAATCGGCCGAATTGCTATATTGTTTTGATTCTACAGACTCAATCGGCCGATTGTTAGGTAGGCAGATTCGGTGGATTACCGTTACTACGTATGTTTATCACTGTAAGCTATTAGTCCCGAACTATAAATCACGAGCATCGTAGAGCTTTGTATCGCTAACACAAAACGAAAAAAATGTTAATTACTTAGCGATTTAAAAGGAGATAATTAGAAATAACGTGAACTCATTAGTCAGTACACTAATAATAGTTTATGATAGTAGAAAGCGTCCGTTGGTTTTTTAAAGTATCGCAGTTAACATAAATGTTTGTTTTTTGAGTAATTTTATATATTTATTTATTAGGAGATGTTAGTTACTTTCATTAGTAAAAATATATATTTAAACCGAATTGTTATAACTCTCCAATCTTTTTAAGCGAACCTGAGAATACAAGTACATTAAAGTACTATTAGTTTACATCCATTAGGAATAGTATTCAAATATGAACGCAACATTGTTTGAGGAAGCCGCAAATAAAATTATATCTATCCGACCATTCATTAACCTTACGAAGTCTCTAGCTTGACCTCACTTTAATCGTAATAACAAACGATATACACTGAACTTACATCATGCATGATACTAACCAAATGTGTTATCTATAAGTTAAAAGCGAAATTAACCCGAACACTTTTAGATTATCTCACACCAATTGTAAATGAAATGGCACATTTAAAGATTCGTTTAATGTACACGTCAGTTTGTCCGCGCCGGACGCATCGGACAACTTTGTCTTTATGCGATGCGGACGGCGCGGATGATGGACACCGCGCTGTGTAAAATCATACAAAGCAAATAAAATCCGTTGCGGGCCGTGAGTTCGGTGCGTACGGCGAGTGCTAATGGACGCGTACCTTAAAGGCACTGCATTAAAATGTATGCAAAAACGTCGCTAATGACGATTAAATTACATGCTTAGTCATTAACAGTCTTCCAAATTACAAAATTCTCAGAAACCATAACTTTATCATAATTCTACGGAAAATTACACAAACAAGAACGTATCTAAGCGTCATTGTTGAATTGGTCATATTTGTTTTCCATTCAATTCAAACGAAGTAATTCATATTGTAGTATTATCGCAAGACGTTGATTTAAGACGAGTCCATTCATTAATCCATTAGTCTATATTAAGTCATATTTTAGACAGTTACAAACAGATTTACAGGCATATTTTTAATTACAATATTCAGGTTTTCAGATCCGAGTATTGTGCGTGGAATTACGATTTATTTTATTGTAAAAAACTCTGTATAGAGCATATCTGGGTAATAAAAGTTTTTTAATGGCAAATGTAGTATGTAGAGTTTAAAAATTAAATAAAATATTGTAAAAAGTACATAATTACACACAATGTTATTATTATTTTTATAGTAAATCTTGCTGTCTTATAAAACGTATCTATAACAAATATAATTCTTTAGTCGCAATTCAAATAATTCGTACTTAATAGAACAATTTAGATCGGTCTAGTTTCTAGTATAAAAATAAAATGTTAAATAATCTTCCACTTTTGTTTTATGAGAAACAGCTGGATAAACAGCTGACAAAAACCATTACATTCAATTCCAAGGATGAAGAATTATAACACATGAGTCACTGATGTCATTTCGAAGCTTTCCAAAAAAATATCTGTACTGATTACACGCAATATTGATACATTCCGCAAGACAGAGACTATCAATTTTTTTATTTCTAAACTTGCTGCGGACGCGACTACGTCCGCGCGCGATTAAAACAAGTTGATTAGCCTATGTGTACGCCAAGTTACATTGAAATCCGTACAGCCGTTTTCGAGATACCTTCAACCAAACATCTATTCATCCATCTATCCATTTAAACATTCCTATTTATAATTTTACTAACATAGTAAGATATGCATTATCACAGACTAATTTATCAAAATAGTAGTCATATTTTAAAATAACTTCTTTGCTTAATATTTTCATACATTCATTGCAATGTAACGCGGACGGCGCAACGACTAGGCGGAATTACTTCCCAAGGGAAATGACCTCTACCATAATTTGCCGCTTGCCTGCACGTCTCGATATAAACTCTACGTGAATTTTAAAAATATACTGTTGTACCTTCATTAATAAAGAAAAAGTATGAATGGCTTACGAAACAGATTACTTAAATTTACCATGGGTTTCTGACACCAAAGTTCCCTGTCTTTTATCTTTGACAAACAGAGATAACAATATGTATTAAACGGATATTTTAGACTCAGAAGCCTACGGTTGGTCTTAAATTAATGAAGCTAAGATTAAGACAATAACATCGGTTTTCTTCAAACCTATCGATATGAATCTTTTCAATAAGTCCCGTAGTTAGCTAGTTGCTTTAGGTAATTAAACAAAGTGTAGTTATCTCTACACTTGCACTCTATCTACACTTTGTGTAGATACCTAAAGTATTGAAGCGGAAGACTTTTGTTCTTAGTGTAAACTGAAAAATATCCAAAAAGCTGTATTTGATCACCATTTAAGTAAACTCGAGAAAAGTTTTGTGTGAACATAGATTGGGATGACTATATTTGTATGTTTTTACGTTTGTTCGGTTAGATAAGGTAACATTTTAAGAGTAAACATATACATAAGGCTATCTATGCACGAGACAACGTCCATTAGGAATTATTAACCTGTACAAGATCTAAGAATAAAACTAAACACCTAAATATGGACTAACAAAAGAGTGAAGGAATGTAAAAATTTAACTAAGTAAAAAAATCGTGTTACCTTTTTTTAATAAAATCACATCACATAGATTACGTTCAATATGCATTTTAATAATAAGCCATAAACTATTTTGTCTATAGAACAGATGGCTAACGAAAAAACCCGTTAATCCGATGTTAACAAAAAAATGATAGCGAGATCAGCTTCAGTTAAAACTATTCAAAAATATGAACAACTTAATGCAAGGAAATAAATGAATAGGCTATACTAAATCTAGTAATATAAATATTCTTAGTAATCAATAGCATTGGCTTACATGAATATTTTATATTTGCATTACAATAATGTCGCTTTGTATTACAATTTATATTGAAAAACCTGGAAAACTATTATACATAAAGTGTGTTGAATATTTACAATGCAAATAATTTGCTAATTGAGTGGGATGTAGGCGGCGCCATGATGCGATAACAATAAAATGGACCTTGCTAATGCGACCTGTACAATTACCTTATCTATCGAATATGTACCATTAAATATTCATCAAGGATATTCCGTATCCTGATGATGAAATGTTAGTCATAATTGCTTTATATCTAACAACTTAACGACATATACAGGTTGAACCATGATGTCTAAACGAAGGACCATAATTAGTGTACCTTACTAAAAAGAATTTTGATTTTGATACAAATACATTCTTAATGCAAACAAAGATTTAATAATTTGTTTACTGAACTATGTACTATTATTCAATTAACTGTGGTTTCGTAATTTACACCATACTGTAGTATATGCAAGATTTTCTCACACATTTATTGTATTTATATGAGTACGTCCTAACTCTAATTGTTTAACAAAGTAAGTTTTGCAAGATTTACAACCACAATTAGACCGTCTGGCGTTAAATTTACTCACATACATTTACTGCAATCGCCACGCTTGTTACATCGTCGTAGAACATAAAGCAAAGATATAAATTTTTAATGCAATAAACACCGATACATAAGTAGTACACAGTGGTTGCAAATAAATGATATAAAACAATAAACACACACAAATTCTCAATAAACTATTGTCCGTTTTTTAGTTCATGTTTTAGCTATTAAAATAAACTTCGGTTTAGTTTAAACATTTAACTATTTCAAAATTATTATTAATTGTTAACAATCCATAATAACAAGTCCCGTGAGAACTTAAACGTAGACGTCATTTATAAATTTGGCGCGAAAATAAACCAGCAACGTGTTCGAACACAAAATCATGGCGCCCATATTGGAATGCTAACAAAGGGATATTAAGAGCCTATATACATGAGGTATTTACGCGCTAATGGCGGGCGTTTACAAGCTACAAACGAAATTCACTATGGCTACCGCGTTTCTTTTACAATTTTAGAACTATTGATTACGGTAATAATGCGCATTAAGAGTAGGTAGCGTAGTTTAAATGCAATAAAAGTGAGATGGATAAAATCTTCAAAAAACTTCCTTGGGTGGCGAAAATCTATGTCAACTAATATTGATTTAAAGTCATTGAATGTAGAAAAATAGAGTTTTTGAGTTTTAGTTTATGCCCTGTTATTAGTTTTGCTTTATGCATTAGAAATAAAGAAAACATTTACATATTAACTTTAAATTGTCGCAATTTATAAAGCAGGTATCACCTCAAAGGGTGGAAAATCAATTTTACATTGTTTAATGTTTAAAGCGATAAATTTTTTTTCGAGAGGAACAAACGCGAACGTAGAGGACGCGAGTAACTCATATGCAAGCTCTCTAAACAATCTCAGCTCTGATATTGTTTATTATTACACCAAGCTTGTTATTATTTCGTGAGCCTGCGTTTCGTAAGAATAAACGCATGTCGGAAAAACTTAATTCAATAATGGTATTTTCATCAGGCGCTGTTAATTTTTGATTAAGTATTTTCATGTTTTGAATATAAACATGGAGTGTTTAGGAAAGGGAGTTAAGAAGCTTTAAACATATTTAGTGTGCCGTTGTGCTAAAATATCAGTACTCAATTCTTTATACTATCTCACTCAACTAACTACTCGATACACTACCGTTAAAATTGTAAAAATTTGTAGCAGTCAAAAAGCTGAGTGGCCCATGAGGGGATCGAACCCGCGACCTTCGCGTTATTAGCACGACGCTCTAACCAACTGAGCTAATGGGCCCGATGTATTTGTAGCATGAAAACAATGACAAGTTTTTGAGCAAAGCTTAGAAACTGTGGATTAGACTGTTTGCTAAGAGTTTATACGTTGATAATGTTTATAATATGTAACTACCGCTCAAATAGAAAGCCGGCTGCAACCTACTTAAAGAGGCTTTCGGCCTAGGTTACCTACACGGATCGCGATACACCTATAATCAGAATACGTTAGTATAATATTATGATAATAAATTTAAAAAGAATGGAATATTATAAATAGTCATTTCACGAAAGTAGAACTGAAACGAGTGTCCTTTAGTATCAAATTTCACTTTATAACCGTTTTGATTAGCATAGAGCTAGAGTAAATTGTTTTGACTTACTGCCAGAATACATCAAATTCTTGTTAGCCGTATAATTGGTATAGTACAGATTTGTTGTTATAACGCATACCCTCAACATTAGTGGCGGTAAACATACGTTGTTTTATGTGTTTGTTTATATAATAGATTGTTGTTAACACCGATGCGCTTAGCCTTCACAACACCAGTCTTAGCTGCGTAACCACAACGCTACATCGATTAAATTTTTTTCGTCATAGTACAAAGAAGCTAAAATAACGAAGTAAGAAATACAGATAAATATTTTCTATAAGTTAGAATGTCGCAGATGCTTTTGCTGTCTTTATTGGGCATGGGAAAGTCTGTATAAAAGACATATAGGTAATTGAAGTGCGAATGTACTCTTCGTTCATTCAATCTTTTGTTCGTTCATTCTTTAAACTTCATAATTCATAACAAGAACATTAAGGTTATTAATAATAATATAAAATTCAAATGAGATCATTTTAATTACAAACATGCCTTAATTATAAGTTGACAATAGGTCGTGATTATAAAATGTTATTGTCACTTAACCTGCATATAAGCTGGGGGCAGAGGAGAGCAATCAGTGTTCGTGAACAATGATGTGACGAACATCGTTTAAAAATAGACGTCTAGGTGACCTTGATATTAGAATTATGATACGTATACCATACAGGGCATCTTATTCGTGAAATGAGCTAAAGAATATTATCAATTTTGCCTCTCTTTTTTGCATAAATTACATGTTTGTGAATACAAATTACTATTTCCTATTGAAGCCCTACCAATTTTATCGTAAATTTTGTATGTTCTATTCAACTCGTTAACTAAATCACACAAGGAAATTATGGTTGTACTTCAAAGAGAATCTTAGCAGATACGAATAAACTACCCATTTGTATTGGCTCTCTAAATATAATCATATTTTCGTTTTTTTTCGTTTCATCCATAATGAAGTGACGTGTGTATGTCAGTATTCGTATGAATTAAAATCAATTTTTATAGTTACATAATTCTTTTAGTGAACGAGAAAACAATGCTCTTAAAATTAATGAAACCCGCAAAAAGTTATCATACGAAAAACGGAATTATTTTCGAATCGTCTGACGTCCGTCTTATTTTTGAATGGCAGGAACATGGTGGATATTTCACATCCGGTCTCTACTTGCTTTGTTTTAGATATTGCCTGATCTAAAGCATCTGCGTTTTAGATAAGACAAACAATATTTAAATCTACACCGCCCACCCGGAACTCACTATAGTATTTGAAATGTTCATATTTTAATTTCCCACGCGATATATCTGCCACATGGAATTCATTTTTTTTACATAATACATCCCGTCGTAGATTTTGTGGCAACATATTTAGGTTTAAAAAAAAGTAAAGTGATATAAATCAAAACACTGCTCTATGTATCCTAGATAGTAGATACTCTTTGGACTCCTTTACTATTATTTAAAAAAATTCAAATGGCATTTTATACATATTTATATTGGAGTCATTGTAATTTTTCGTACTCTCGGAATACAAACTCGTATCGGAAAAATATTTTTAAACATTTTTATCAATGATGCGAATTTATTATGAAGTAACACTTACGAACGTCCGTTTTGATAATCTTATCAAAATGACCGAAATTGCTACAGTGGAAGTGTATGATACTTCCATCGAAGCAATTTCGCCCTTTTCGGCTTTTTAATTATTTATTTAGATATCTGAACATTATGAACTTTTTCATTAATCTAGTATATTTAATAAGATAAGATAGATACATTTATTCCGACTGGTTTGTACTTAATGCCTACGAACGTAGCTATGTAAACCGATGACCCGAATGCCTTTGGCACTAATAAATCGATGCTCATCGCAATTAATAAATCAGCAGCTGCACGAAATCGAGTCTACGACCTTTGGTGGCGTAAAAGTGACAATATTGTCTTCGCCATATTTTACACCGCTACGAAATTCTATGTAAATTAAGTCGTAGCCAACGTTTACGATATTTTTTCGCGTTTGAATTGTTTAATGGGGAAGGTTTTTGTTGTACCATTTTTATTACAGTCTAGATACAACTTGTATAATATGCAAATATTTGTTTGTTTGTTAAATAGTTCTGGATAAATTCAAACAAAAGTCGATATTAGTAACTAAGCCTGATCAATATACTATTGAATTAGAATATTAATGTGTTATTGTTTCTCTGTCTTCTCTCAATTGAATTATTTTCACTAGTTATCGATTTTTTTTAGAATGCGAGTCTTTACTTGTCAACACCGAGAAGCGAAGTATGGCTCAATCCGTCGAGATATTGCGTGGATATTATGACCAATACAAATGATGATTTCCGCATGGTGGCGCTAGTGTGCTATCCTGATAAGGCTCCTGAAGACGATAGCCCAGTACTGTACATCACTTATGCAATTGGTAAGTAATTTACTTTATTAAATATAATTCTTACTTGAGGATAAGTGCTTTTATTTTGTAACGAGGAACATAGTTTTAGCTTGCAAAACAATAATGGTATATTTTTAGTGAATTTCATAAGTTCTTTTTCAATCTGTTTAGCGTATTTAATAACAAATCGGAATTTAAATATCTGTGATACATTTTTACGTGAATTAGCTTTCTTTGTAGTCATTACATTTTTTTTGTAGTTTTGTTGTAGTAGTAGTAGTAGTAGTAGTAATTGTAGTCATTAAGTAAATAATCCTTGTTAGTAGAAATTTTTACAATGAGTCCGACGGAAACAACATAATTTAAGCGTAGGCTTGGAACGACAAAAGGCGTTTACAACGTAACGGAAATGAAATATGTTGAGGGTTGAACTTTTATGGACGCTCCGGAGCAATTAGTTTAAAACGGACGTCCTCTGATGAATAATTAAATCGTTATTCATTCATATAGTACTCAATTAAATTATTATATTAAGATTAATGAGGTAAATGTAAAAAAGAGTAAGAGAATTTGTTTTCCAATGAAAACTCAAATGGAAGGTGTCAATTTTTTTTCAATATGTACTTAATTAAAATTATTGAAATAAAAATATTGGCGGCACACAATTTTTATAACATACGAAAAGGTTTTGGTGAAATAAATGCTTCTTTCATGAAGCTTTTTTTTCTATTTAATAAGTACTGTGTCATAATTTGTCTGTTTAGTGTGATCAGTTTTGGTGTCATCCATCAAACTCGCAACTAAAACGTCCAATAACGCCTTCCCTTAAGTTAATGGGCAATTTGTTTTTATGACAGGCCTACGCTTTTTATTGGGGCTTAATTTTGTTTGCTAACGATTCGATAATAGCGTCATTACGCGAAGATACTACGACAGTAACTAGTGACTGAAATAAAACGATAAAGATAATTAAAAGCTCAAGTTTAATTTAGTCAATGTGTTCGGACATCCTTAATTTAAATTTGATTTTCGTACGTATAAAAAGCTTAGGGCTATGATCCCTTGCGACGAAAAGAATTACAACTCTTAAAACAGAACTCCTTATGTTTGGCGAGTCGGTTTATTTATGCTATTATCACCATGAACAAGCTGTCTAACATATTTAGTCTATAACTCAGCGCTGGGTAACCTAAGCCGTTCCCACTATCAATATCAGTTGTGGAGTTGACTTGGTCATAAATCAGGAATAACACGCGCATAATTTCTATTCTTAATACCATGTCTTTATGACATACTTTAACAGCTCTCCTTTGAAGTGTATAAATGCTTTTGTTACGATTATTGTGTACTATTATTATAAAGCCTTTGCTTGTTAAGACCCTGAAGAAATCATGTGACAAAAGTCTAATATGTTCTGAAGTAAGCATATAAAATTTTAGTATGTTGTTGGTTTTAAAATCTAACTATATCTCGTTTTAAATGAACTCTAATTTAATTTGTATTCGTCTGAAACGTCACTATCAGTTTTATATGAAAATTATTTAATTACTGTGGGTTTCTGAGATCAAAAAGTCTGTATAAATCATATCGGCATCCCTGTAGTTATATTAAAAAAAAAACAGAGATAAAGATATTGTGTTTTAAACGGAGATTTAGTCGCCGAAACTCACGGTAGTTAAACGTACAATCTGTGTATGATTGAAACATGTTTTAGAGGAGAACAAGATAAACAACTGATTTTTTTGTTTCAGGGCTTATGATATCGATTCCTTTCCTATTGGCGACGTTTTTGGTGTACGCGTTCATTCCTGAGCTGCGGAACTTGCACGGTATGTGCTTGATGGCGTACTGCGGAGGCCTAATCATCGCCTACACGTTCTTAGCCTACCTCAAACTGCATTCAGGCAAAATTGGAGTTGCCATGACTAGTTGTTATGTCATTGGTAAGTTATCAATGCATTTCTTTCAATTTTTTACTGCTTAGAACCTCTATAAATGGACTGGCTATAAGAGTAGTATTTTGTGCTTATTTGGTTTCCGCTATTTTGGCGCCGATAGTAGCGGTTTGTACGGTTGGTGTGGATTCAAACTAAAAGTATGGATAGATTTAACTGTCACGTAATCGTGTTTAAATCAGAACGAAGCAAAAGCTATCATTTCCAAGCAATCGCATATCTAATTAAAGAGATCAGTTCTTAGAACAAACGTGAGATGTTTAAGAAACGAGCTAACTCACAACTACAATATGATTTGAAATAGAAACAACTGAACTGAGGTAACAAATAGTGACCTACTAAATTACCTGCAATTCTAAAAAGCTATTGTAGGTCATAAAATGAACTGACTGAAAAATTTACAGCCTTACACATGTGTAACACGCGAGCTTATGTCACGCAAATCACGTCTAACAAGTAATCAGTACAATTAACATAGACACACCTTGTGGTACTAATATTTTTCACTAGTTAATTACTAAGACTCTATTTTAATTTAATTACAACAAACCTTGGGTACGGAAATATGACATTAATAGACAGTCTCATTGGTCTACATATTTTCATAGAAATATAATTTAGATTGATAATTACTATTATACTTCGTGTAAATACAAATATAACCTACTAAGGTATGTTGGTAACAATATAGGATAGAATTCTTCTGTTTCTTTAACTGCTGTATAGCCATAGATTCTGTCACTGTGTTCCCGGCAGCATCTTCACTTACGTCATTTTTCTTTTTTTTCCTTAATAATGGCAATAGACAACGCCATCTTTCTGCCACCAAAACCCTGGTTATGAATTATTCTATTTGTTAGCTAACATCTTTTAATATTTTCGTAGTAATTAGGCACACCCATATCATTGGCAGAGAATCGTTTTACGACTATTTGTGTTTGCGTAACGTTTTTGATTTCCGAGGCTTCACAAACCTTGTTAGTTTTGCCATTACCTGAACAAACTTCGTGGAAACAGTTCATTAAACTAACTCATTACGAATCGCAATTAAAGGGTTTGTTTACTTTCCGTGATATTAACTTGATGATAGATTTTTTTTGCTAATTATGTAGTTTCTTCTTAACCGATTCGAATTCCTTAATACGTAAGAAACGTAGTAAATATAATTAGAGCAGACGTTCTTTGAATTTTTATATCTAACATTACCGAAATAATATTGAATTTTAAAACGAATATGTCGATGAAAAGTCTCGATCAATTCAACATGATCGCGTAATTTTAGAATCATATTTGTTTTTTAAATACAACAATTAGGTCAAGAAGATGAAAGAGATTGATGAATGACATTCACCGATTGGGAACGACATTGCGAAGTCATTTGCAAGTTGTGTTTTTATTTGCTTTTTTAAGAGGACAGTACTGAGAGATAAGGTAAATGCCACAAAAGCGAGAGTAGTGATTGAAGATTTCTGTTAATTATTGGCACCTAGTCGAACCTAATCGACAACGTTCTTAACTTATCTGTTAAGAGCGTTGTCGATTGTCATAATCGGGAGACTGAAGTTTTTTTTTTACCTTTTTATAGATCCTACTTTACGTTTTCCCGTGTTCCCATTAATTTTATACTCCGTAATATTTATTAACATTTTCTTATATTTGTTTCAGCGTTCATCGTTTACTACGCGTTCCAGACGAGTTTCTTTTGGCTGAATGTAATGTGTTTCGACATATGGAGAACGTTCAGGTGATTATCGTTGTATTGATTTCGTTGAAATATAAACAAAACTCGACTGCTGATATTTATGCTGATGGAATTCTAAAAAAAAAATAGGCATCGGTACAAATATTTTTCAACGATGGAAAACACGCGAGATATAAAAATAATAGATTGTATATTCTTTGTATTCCTATCGTATTTATTCCCGTAACCTAATTTTGTAAGTAGGTAAATTATTATTATGGTTTTTTGTTAACTATGTGTCCATTTATTTGGATTTTCCGCAGATTTCTTTTTCGGATTGAGGCATATATTTGAACTGTCTATAACTAAAGTTTAATTACTATTGTATTGCAGAACAGTTGTGCCGATCAACCACGACTACACGGCCACACTGTAGGTCTCGATATGCCTAGCTTGCAGGTCGATGTCCATAACTAGCATGCTGATTAGTTCGGTAGTGTTGCCACATTGCTCGATACTCTATACTCTATGGTACAGTTTATCTATGCTCCTAGATGTTTAGTCTTAAAACCCTTACAACGCATAGAGACCTAAAAATATTGAATTAATGCCAGTGAACATATTTTATTAAACAAAAATATCCGGCTTGTAATAAAACACTCTTAGGTCCTTGTTTCTAGAAACTTTTTCGCGGACTGTTAGTAAAGAACTGTAGAATGTAGTTATTAATTAGCGACTATTTTATGTAGAGCTAGATTTAGCTGTAGTTAAGTAAAGTACGGGATAGTTAACTTTGTAACTCAAGGATATTTGCTTTGTAATATATGAGTTGTTTCTCTAAATAATTATTTAGAGAAACAACTCATATTTTCTAGTAATTTTAATTTTGGATATCAAGACTGAGTTAGTTATAAAACTTGCCTTTGTTAATTACAATCGGATTATTAAACAATCAAATGTTTAAGATGCATTCAAATACAAAAAATATAATTACCAAAAAATATCAAAATTACTATTTAAAAAGTTTACCTATAAAACTTAGTAAAATATTATTAGCATGAATAGTTATGTCGTAAATAACAAAGCATTGCACAAAACTATTGTATTTTCTATGTATGTTATGGATGCTATATTATTGTATGGAAATTTATTATAAATGGAATAATTAGGTTTACTATGTGCTTGTTTAATGCAAACCAACGAAAGGACTGGAGGGCTAACCACGTCACAACAATCAAAATGGTAAGACTATAAATAGAATAACTGACAAGATGTTACCTAAATACTTGTAGATTGGTATAAATAGGTAAAGTTAGCAACTGTACTAGTTGCGTCGCACCATTTGAACCCCCAGGTTAAGATGTCTATATGTTTAATACTATTGTTTCCAAATAGTAGTAAACAAAATTTTACTTTTAAATAGCGTTACAGGGTTACAGTCACCAATTCTGCTCTTATAATCCTTGGTTTGTTAAGAACAAACATGTCAAGAATATCTTTAGTGCAGACAAAATTAGAAGCTTTGGTTTGCGGTCAACAAATTAGTCATATTTAAATTATTAGTAACGTCAGCGAACGTCAATGCGAAACAATTGCGAAAACATTAACTTAAATAAATTTTTACTCAATATTTTGTTTACAATAATAAAGTCAGTGTGCCAATGTTAAAACCACATTATTGGTTTAAAAGAGTGAGAGCTTATTTTACTCTTGTAAATAAAACATGTTTATGTACGTAATGTAAACGTGTTTATTTAACTTTGTATGTTTCTTCTAGTCAAAAAACATTCGTACAACACCTTCTGTAACTCTGTTATTAAAAGAAAGTGCTCGAACGATTCCTTTACAGAAAATTATAAACGAGCCAATACTTCACGTAGTACTTGTTACTTCTATGGTAAATACTTATCCAATATTTAATTTCCATTGTTTTTAACGAGACCAAACTGGGGAAGTTAGAAACTGTATTTCATTGCAAAGTTAATCCTTTTTGTCTATATTTTTCTGTATACTGTTCTATATTGTTAAATTTTGTACGTTTTGGTTTTTTTTTTAATTTAATTTTTTTATTAATTTAATTTTGTAATACACAGCGGTTATCGTGGCAGCAGTAACAAACGTCGAGAGAAGAAACGCTTCGTACTCTACGGCGCATACGCGTGGGGTTTGCCTGCCATCCTCACTGCTATCACCATTGCTATGCAATTTGCTGACGTACCGGGCAACGTCATCACGCCCGGTTTTGGTGCTATGAGATGCTGGTTTACAAGTTAGTTTCGATTACATTCGATTAAGTTAGTTTAAGACCTATTGTTGAAAACAGCTTTAAATATACGGTCAATCCACATAAGTGTATCAATATAGGAAGGTATATCATATCGAAGGAGAAACAACTTTTTTCTAGACTATGCCTAATGAAATTACTTGTATGAACGCACACTTTAACGTCAATGCTTGACTAAAAGACCTTCAGGAAATATCAATATCTTTGGCTAATTTCCATCAACGAAACTATCATAAATTGTTTTGATAAATGTATTTTAATCGTTGTTACAGACTGGTTGAGCGAGTTAGTGTACTTCTTATCCCCCGTGCTTGTGCTCGTCGTGTGTAATGTGGTGTTATTCTCTGTCACCGCGCATCGCATACGCTCCATCAGGCAGGAGACCGCTATACTAAAGGGCGCGGAGTCCGCCAGGAGTGATAAACTTAAACGAGATAAGCAGAGGTAAGACTGGTTAGCCGGCCAAGGTTACTTTCGGTACATCTCAATTCTTTCCAATATTTTCTCATTGTAAGTAACATATTAATGTAAATATCATCTTCCTCTTCTAATCCTATATTCGATTTATCATTATTTATTTCTGTCTTAACACCGTTCATATTCATGTCGCCTTTCAAGCAATCAATTCTACACGTCTGATAACTTCTACCAATGTATCTGTCCACATATTACTGTAATTTTTACTCATAATTTGTTTACAGATTCGGGCTATACCTCAAGTTGTTCATAGTAATGGGGGTGAATTGGACCGTGGAGATTATAAGCTTCTCCGTTGGCGGCTCCAACTGGTACTGGATCCTCATCGATATATCTAACATAGCTCTCGGTGCTGTCATCTTCCTCATTTTCGTGTGGAAGAAAAAAGTTCGCAATTTAGTCGCTAAGAAGTAAGTTTAATATCAATGTTTTGTTTTTTAACAGGTTTGTTGGAAGTTGTGGGGCTACGTTCTTCGTCCATACTCCTCTATATAAAATCGGTTTAATTGAAAATAGAATACAGATGATGAATTACTTGTGGGCTGAAATAAATTAACAATATATACATTTTAAATTTGACATTAAATGTTTCTATTTTGAAATTACAGATGGCGCAGTATTCGCGGTATACGGAATACAGAGAGCGCAGCATGGGCCACACGGTCCAGCTCTGCTCCGACAGAAGATACACGCATATCCAACGACGAGACAGCATTACGACTTAAGGAAATACGATAGACAAAAACATAGACCTTTGATTTTGTAAAGAATGCACATTACTTTATCGATATATCTATCGAATTATCGAAAATATTAAGTGGTCTATATGTAATTTATTACTTAAATTCGTTACTTTACTAATCAAAATTAATTCAATTACGAAATATAGATGTTTTTCAGTGCCATATATCTGATATAACGACATTTGCACTCGCAACGTATTTTCTTTTTATCGCAATCTGTCTACCCAATCATACAATGATTTAACTATGTTACATAGACATTTATTCCTAGTCATAAAAATATATAATATTAAGTCATTTTTATTAAGAAGTTTTACTTAGCATATTAATTTTAAATATTAAAATGGTAATTTATACTTAACTTGCAATTAAATTATAAGATTTGTTGTTAGATTTAAATCATGACAGGTCACTTTTTGAATGAATTCGTGTGATTTGTCAAGTCCTAATTAACATATTCAAAGTACAAACGATCAGCGTTTACAATTCATCGTTAGCGTATGCCATATGAAAATAGTAGTGGTAAACATTACAAAACGTTTTAATTAACAATACAACATTCCAGATCAAGGCCTAAAGTTAACAACGTTTACGCGACACTTCGTTGACAAATTACATTTGCAAAAACTGTTCTTAATTGTAAAATATTTCTTATCTTTAGTATTTCAGTTTGAATGAACTCTGAGATTAATCATCAATAGGATATCATTAAAATATTCAACTTAACTAAGTAAATGTAATGAAGAGTTTAAACACTAAACTTTAGAGAAAATTAATATGTCACACTTTATGTATTTAAAATAAGTAATCTTTTGAATATTCGCTTTGCGTACTATACTTATTGACAAAGCTTATAAGATTGTACAATTTTTGTTTTGAATTTAAGTTGCAATATTTACCACCGAACTACATTATAGTTAGCGTGTATGGAATTTTTTTTTATATAAAATAAAAGTATATGTAAAATGCAACCAAATTATTTGAATGAATGTACATATAATTTGTTCTTTTTTAACATAATAAACTTTTAAATTGATGCGTATGTTTTTTATTCGAAAAACAAAATTTCAGGCGATCCATACGAAACATTCGTAGTGAGATGGTTCGTGTTAATATTAATTTATTATACAACAAGAAACACATTGGGATTAAGGATTAACATAGATTATGAATATTGAGAAATCAACAAGAGATTAAGGATTGATGTTAAGGAAAGAGATTAAGAGATTACCAAAAATTATTCAGTGGAAAATAAGAACGAAATGACCCCAATAAACAAATCAAGCTTCGGCATTGAACGAACTTTTATTCTTGTAAATATTATAAATGCGAATGTTTAAATGGATGAATGGATTGATTCTATGCTATCTCCATGTCAAGATGTCATTGGCTTGAAAACCTCGTTACCAAGCCATAAAATGTTCGAAAAAAAGTCAATATGTCTAGTGTCATAAATTCTGCTTATTTGTGTAAGGTTATGATTATTGACAGTGAAGTGATAAGACAGAAGTGATAAGAGAATTTTATTTACATGGACATTTTGTAATATAGTCTATTTTATTTATACACGTAAATATATATATGCCTTTTATTTACTTAGGTAATAAACGATTTTCATATATTTTCATATGTCACCTTAATGTGATAATCACATAAAAGTAGTTTAATAAAATGTATTGTGGTAATAGTGCAATACATTTTGAATTCACGCCTTATCATAGCTTATAGCATAACAAACTATAGAATCTGTGGACTAATGTGGACTTTGAACAATGTTCAACTCAGTTTATTTAGTATCACTTGCCATTGTATCCATATCAGTTCTTATTTCATATATTTTAATGAATACAAATACAGGTAGGTATTTCAATAATAAGACAATTATGTAAAAACTACTACAAACTAACTGTAATAACAGTTTCAGAGCTGGAGACGATGGCTAAGAATGGCTTAGTTTTTGTTGCAAACACAGCAAAGTTGCACAATTTAGTCACCAAGGCCATTAAATCAGTAAAAAATATATTATATATTAAAATTAATAGTGAATCAGGAAATTTATTGCCCATATTAAGCAAGCAAATTGTTAACATTTATAGTAATGTAAGTATGATAGTAGTTTTTAATATTTTGTGAACAAATTTACAATTTCAATAAATGGTTAATTTATAAACCATTTTTTGTATAATCTTACAATATTTCTCAATATTATATAATCATTCTTGTAAGTACTAGAGCATTATATTTTCTAACATGATTTTTAAAATACAGGCATCTTCACAAAATACTGATGTAAGATTGATGTTGAAGCCAATTAAATCAGGAGAAAGAATACAAACAAATCATGCAATAGATCTCATACTATATGAAAGTGAATTGGACAAAAACATTGAAGAGCTCAAGCATTCCGTAAATAATTTAGAAACTGGTTGTAAAGTTAAAAGTTTTGGTAAGTATATTAATGTTTTAAAATACAAAAAGTAATAATATCCCATTTTCAAGTCATAAATTCTAGAAAATAAAGAAAGCCTTCTTTAATATTCCATATGCTTGGATTTTTAAGGTTATGTAACTTTTCTTATTTTATCAAGTCTAGAAAAAGTTTGTCATGATACAATTATCTATTATATTCATTGATATTAATTTAAAAAGCTAAAGTTTGTATGTATGTTACACCAGAAAACTAGAATACAATTTGAAAAAATGCATAGAATGAAAATGTTTTGTACCAATGGAGTTGTGATATTTCAATATGTTTTTCAAACAACATACATAAAAGAAGCATTGTCATGGTAGAACTTATTACAAGACATAAGATACTTCTTCCTCCCCCTGAATGAAAAAAAAATTAATAGCCTATGTGTTCTTCCAGACCATGTTTTACATCTATGCTAAGTTTCAGCAAGAGCTGCTTATGCCACCCATGTAAACTTTACCACTTATAATTTAAAAGATTAAAAAAAAACATTTTTTCTTTTAACTAATGTGTTGTTATGTATCAATTTCCACAGATAGTCAAATATCAGATAATGTATCTATGGTAGAAAATGTGAAGACCTATGAGTATGTAGCAGTTGGTGGAACATTTGATAGACTACACAACGGACATAAGATCCTGTTGTCGCAGGCGGCTCTGCGGGCAACCAAACATGTGACAGTCGGGGTAACTGATGTAAATATGATTAAATGTAAGAAATTTTGTTGGCCATGTCTATCACTGAACATTAGCTCTGCGGCTATGCATTTAACTCGGAATTTTACAGTCTCTAATTACTAACTGCCACACTCAGAGTCATTAAGTGGTCACTCTTAGCATGAATTTAGTATATAATCTGCACTATTAAAATAATGGTTTTTCTTAGTAACTATTTGATGACAGTTACTTTTCAATATTTCTTTTTTATTTCTAACTGGTCAGATATAGCTTTCGTTTGTATCGTAACTATCTTCTTCAATAAGTTTTTGCTTTTTTGCATATTATATGGCTGTATGTGTTGTATCTTCTCATAAACATATCTCCTCTAAATTCTTGGTAAAATGTATTAGATTTGTGTGCATTATGTATATTATTAATTCGCTTACTATGTTCTATGTTTTTAATTTTATAATAGATGTTTTCATGGCCATTTATTGGTTTAATTTAATGTTATTTTTTCATTTTAGTTTATTGTTGTATTAATTAGAATATTATTTGTTATGAATTTGTATTTATTAGATAGTATTTTTGTTACAGCAAAAGTTCTATGGGAGTTAATTGAGCCTGTAGAAAAAAGAATAAAAGGTGTGCTTGACTTTTTAACTGACATAAATCCGGATCTTGAGTATAAAGTTGAACCAATACAAGATTTATACGGACCTACTAAATCTGATCCGAGGTATGAGGTAAGATATGTCTATAAGTGATTATCTACCTACCAACCATTTAGTTTTCATACAAAAATATTCAAAGAGAATAAGATCTGTCAATACACTAAAGTATGTATCCATTACTCGACATTTTTTATTTCATAAAAAAAGCCATCATGTTTTCTTCTATTAATTTCATGATTTAAGTTGATAGTGACAAGTGAGGAAACACAAAGAGGTGGTATCAAAATCAACGAGAAACGAGAAGAAAACGGCCTTCGACCGCTTGATACGTACGTGATAGGTCTCGCTAAGGATCTGGCCATCAGACATTCAGCTGAAGAAGAAACCAAAGTCAGTTCCAGCAATCAGAGGATGAGGTTACTGGGAACGTTGCTAAAGGAGCCGGAGGTAAAAAATATACGATCGGTTATCCGACGAGTTGGGCAATTAGTTAACTAACTAGTTGAGCTTACAGTTAACCAACTTGTTGAACATATAGTTAACCAAATAGTTGAACGGACAGTTGTTCAACTAGTTGGATAACGAGTTTACCAACGCGTTGAGTACCTGTCGATCTATTCGTTAAATGATAATTATTTAACTTTTAGCCAAATCCCCGAATCCCATCGCGGCCTTATGTCATAGGATTGGCTGGTGGTATTGCCAGTGGAAAAAGCAATATTGCTGAGAAATTAAAGTAAGAAAACTTGTTATTGCTACATATAAATTGCTTTATTGATTACTTTAAATGTAATGAATAATTTTTCGCTCTTTGTTTTTTTTATTTAAAAGAAAATCAGTGTGAAAGAAAACAAAAATGTTTGTAAAATTTTTCAAGTGTTTTCAGAAATGATTTTATAGGTTATTTTCTTTAGATTAAAAGGTGCTGCTGTTATAAATTGTGATTTGATCGCTCACGACCTGTACAAGCCCGGTCTGCCGCTCAACCGGACTCTATCAGAAGCTTTTGGAGGACATATCATCACAGAGAACGGTGAAGTGGACAGACGGAAACTAGGGCAGATAGTATTTAGTGATAAGGTGAGAAAATCCATAAAGAGCTTCGCATTGCTATCTAATAACTTGTTTAGATTGATGTATGGATGTACATCACTATGGATTTCTAGAATAACTACATTTATCTAGATCCTAGACGAATATTAGATCAGTTATAGATTACACTATTTAAAAATGAATGAGCCATAAACTCTGTTTTGTTAATTCAAGGCCATGCTCAGGAACAATTCATTTTCAGAATGAATTAGAAAGGTTGAATCAGATAGTATGGCCGGCTGTGATAGAGGAGACGCAGCGACGTATTAAAGCGCTCGGAAAGGAAGGCTACGAGGTGGTAGTGATGGAGGCCGCTGTGATGGTGCGGGCCAAGTGGTACCACTACTGTCACCAGCTGTGGGCAGTTATTATACCTCCTAATGAGGTCAGTCACAAGAGAATTATATTTTATGAAAATAAAGTTTTTATCTGTGTCGCATATTTTTACATTACTATTCACATATGACGTGAAGTAGTCCTCTAAAAAGCAAGGCAATTTGTTATTAGAAGTCACATAGAATACGTTCAATAAGTTCCTATCTAAAAAGAGACTTTTATGAATTTTTAAATGCACATTCAGTAGGTCTGAGAATCGGCTACTATACGACAGCTTTTATAGTATGAAATACTGATTATCAATATTGAAACAGGCTATTAAAAGGCTTCAAGAGCGCAACAATCTATCAGAAGAAGAAGCAAGACAACGTGTGGAAGCTCAAGTATCAAATTCTGAACAAGTGGCTGCCGCTAATATTGTTTTCAGTCCGTATTGGAGCTACGAATATACACAATCCCAGATAGACAAGGCCTGGGACCATTTGCAGATATATCTCGACACCAAGACTACGAAATGAAGTATTTATTACTGTTTTAAGATATATAGTTTATATAATCTGTTAAAATGTTTACACACGTTCAATAATGTTATTAAAATATTTTTTCTTTAATAAAATAAAACAGCCGCTTGCGCTTTGTAAGTGGCTTGCTTTAATGTACCTGAAATTACTAAAATATATCAATAATAAAAATAAATTATCTGTGTATTGCGTGGTGTTGCTACTATCGCTTTAGTGCTGCCATTTAAATTGAATTTAAAAGAAAAGGAAAAAGATTAAACAAGTAATTTATTACTCAAAGAAGCAATGTCATTTTTTAACGTCAAGATAAAATTAATATATCCAGTTTTTATTTTATAATTAAATCTAGGGGTGGAGGGTTTTCTATGTACTCATCCAATATAATTTTAAGTTTTACTTGTCGTTAATTTTTTGTTGCTGTCCCATTTTTCTCCACTTTGTAGATAGTAAAACTTTTTTTTTACATTTATTTCGCATCATAAATTTCCACACCAGTTTCGGTTGTTTTCTCCGTTTTTTTATTAGAATCAGATGTTTTGTACATACAATTTGCCAGCGGAAACTCACTGTTATAATCACATAATGTTAATTTCATCTTACCTTTTAAATTTTCTGTTTGCTCGTTTGTTGATTTTACGATTTTAACTTTTCGCACTTTTCAATATCTACTTCTTCTATAGCAAATTATTTTTAGTCTACATTTTTAAATTGAAAAAAAGTAAAATAATATTAAATGACCCCAGTTTGAACTTTGTCTATTAAATCAATTTTATGAAATGATAAGCAATAGAAAATATTCTAACTTTTTAGCCTTATGAAATAAGAATAGAAATATATTAATTGTTTTATACTTTTTCAGTAAAATGTTTACAATTAGTGGTTGGCTAGAAAATAGAGTTATTTAAATAAATATTTTTGTAAATAGAACAATTGTTTTTTATTTAAATGAAGATAGCCGTGAAGTAAAAGTAATAACTCCTTTGTCTGAAGAGTGTGGGTAAATTTATATCTTCACCCTTTCTAACCTTTTCGTATGAGGAAAGGAAGGGGAATTTGACATGAAAAAGGGTGACGTTTAAAAAAAATATCGTCTCATTCTCAATAAACTACAACATTATTCAAGACAAACAATAAGTATCATACGTGCGTGTTCTTTAACTCTTGAATAGTTTATAAAGCAGAGCCTAATTACTTCTAAAAAAATATTAATGGTATATTTGATTGAAATCACAAATCCTGGAATAATAATACATTAGCTAAAGTACTAGAATTTTTTAACTTATCAGCTTATATATTTGTTTCTATATCGTTCTCGAGTTTCGTCATTCACCAATACTTTATACAAAGTAGCCGCGAAGCAACACCACTTGGAACTACCACACTAAGTTTTACTTTGAGTATGGTCATGTCTTTTATCCTCAAACTTATGATGATATACTCCGGAGTGATTGTAATCTATGGTCAAGAAAATTTAATAATTGTTCCAGATAAAAGTGACCTAAGAATTCAGATTATAGTAAGTATATTGCAAAATATAATTATTTATATTTCATGATTCTGAATGGAAGAGAGATAAAACCACTTTTTTTAATTGCAGGGTGACATAGTTAAGGAAAATTTGAAAACAAACGGATGGAACAACATACTCTGCTTCGGACATCTACCAGACAATTTCTACAGTATAGTCCAAGAACTCAATCTTACTTTCTCTATTTCCAACGTGGATGTTGAAGACGATTATGATATAGAGGGTGTTGTACCTTACCATTCAAATTTCATTGTCATAGACTGTATAAACTTTGAGCAGTTCGAGGATGTTATGACTAAAGTGGTTTCTTTGCCATATTGGCATCCACTCGCCCATGTCATTTTATATTATCATACACTCGAAGACAAACAAATGATGGCCAAACTATTTTACATACTGTGGTACTATAGAGCGATAAATGTTATTATCATTCAGTACGATGATTTTAAAAATGTGTTGTTGGTGTCATATTTTAATCCGTATACAAGTGAACCTTACCGATATAAGAATGTGTACGGCTGCAAGTTGACGAAGAAAATAGGCATGCCGTTTGATGACTTTGAAACTGGGTTCACTTGTGAAGAGGGTTGCGAAAATATACCTCTCAAATCGAAAGTTCGTCGTAATTTCTTTGGTATTTGTCTAGGGTTTGATACAATTTCCGTGAACTACAATGATACATCAACATTGAAGGAAATCGATTTATTTGAGAATAAAGCAAAGAATTTTCACAGATATCCACTCAGAGCGTTTGGTGCTGAAGTGTTACCATTTTTAGAAATTAGAAATTACAGCGACGGTACCTACTCGATGCATAAGAGAGATGCAATGGTATGGAACACGATGGCTGAGATGATGAACTTTACAATAGATCTGTCACCTGCCGAGGGAAAGATAAAAGAACCATTTGATTATGATCTAAGTATTCAAATGATATTCGCATTCTCACATAGAAAATTTGACTTGTTTCTCTTCCCCGTTTATCAATATGATTTAGTCCTTTTCCAAATAGATAATACATTTCCCTACAAGGATAGCGGTGTTTGCTTTTTAGCTCATCGTGCTAATTTTGAAACGATTCTATTCGACCAAAAATTGTTACTTAACAATATCGGTATTGTTGTACAATTTTTATTTTGCTTTTTAGGCTCTTGGTTCGTATTCTTTATATTTAACATTGAACAAGGTGAACGGATAAGTTTCGATCGAGCTGGTAAAGATCTTGTAAATGCAGTAAAAACAGTTTTATCTATGGGTCTTGATAAAACACCCAGACGAGGTTCATTTCGTATATTTTTCATTATATCACTCTGGAGTTTTTTTGTTATTAACTTCTCTACTCAAGCAGCTATAATATCATTTTTTTCTGCTGCTAAAAGAGGTAAAGAAGTGGAAACATTTGAAGATATCGCTGCCAAAGGATATATGGTGGAAGGTATGGCATCGCCTGACCTTATTCTTCCTGATCACAAAAAAATATATCGCGTGATTAACTCAAGATTAGTTTCAAATAAAGATTTATTTGGTTGCGTGAAGAAAATGGATAATAACAGTCGTAGATTTTGTTTGTTGGATTGTGCAGTCAGCAAATATTTGGAAAGAAATAAAATGAACGATAAAGGTCAGCAATACTTACATGTGGCTAAAGATAAAGCACATGGCCATCACCTGAACATGCTATTCCAAAAGCATTCAGTGATAACTGAAGTATACAACAAATATATATTAGCTATAGTTGAAGCGGGTTTAGTCACAAAATGGGAGCAGTACAGATTTACTGAAATCAGGGAGGAAGCGCCAGTGCGAGCCATGGGCTGGGAGGACGTGGAAGGAATTTATAAATGCTACGTTTTCTTTCTTATCTTAAGCATTGGTATATTCTTTTGCGAAATTTCAATTAAATTCATTTTTAAAATTAGACAGTATTGTACAAAAAAGTTAAAAATTAGGAATGTAATGAAAGTGTGGTAGGGTTTCTACCTAGCAAGATATCTTCCTTACCAATGAGATATAATCAGATTGCTATTTTCGTCTTTTTTTCTTAGAGTTTATAATTCAATTGCGTTTAATATTTGTTTGCTTGCAACGACTAATTTACGCAAACTAACTTTTGTGTTTTGAGAATTTATTGAATAAAATAGTACAAAACTGATATAAACCGGTTTTTATTGACTTGCTTTTTTCACCTATTTTATACCATTTCCAATCCTAATTATTCTAAAGACACTCATAGTAATCTCACATAAGAAGACAACTTGGTATCAGACGAACAACACAAGCTTATATAGAAAATTATGCAAAATTGTTTTGTCCACATTATATGGAGTCGGTATTCTAATCATTCATCATTTCTGTCGTCACTTCCTTCTTCAACGGCCAAGGGGCCTAGCACGAAAATTTGAGAGAAAGCGTTCATAGCGACATCGACAAAATATATTAGAACTGTTACATTATCAAGCCTATGTACATATTTTGTATTACGAATATTTTGTCTCGAATTTTTGTGTTAATATATTCAAATAAGTGTAGGTATGTACATATGTACACAATAAATCATGTATCAGTGACAAAATTGATTATTTTTTTATATGTGCTTTATTATTTCTCAGAATAATCAAGGTAAAGTTGATTGAAAACGACAAACCGTTAGGCAGCATATCATGCAACATTATCTAAAGTAGTGGAAACCATTCTTAATGGGATATTAGATTATTGCCTGACAATACAAATATAATTGGAACTTAAGCACATCCTTCCTTAAGCATATCACTGAAAGACGTCAAAGTTGTTGCATATATTATTTGTTAGCTTTTTTCATGTATTATCATGAATTTACTTACCTTATTTGCTATACTATTTGTAAAAATGACAATGGGTAATGCAAATGAAAACTTATTGGTAAGACCTGATAGAGAGGACCAAATAATAGACATTATTGTAAGTATGCTTATACGCAACGTATCAAAAAATCTAATATACGTAAGCTCATTTTTGTAACTAAAATTCCAGGTTGACATAGTAATAAATAATTTGAAAACAAACGGATGGAACAACATACTCTGCTTCGGACATCTACCTGACAATTTCTACAGTAAAGTCCAAGAACTCAATCTTACTTTCTCTATTTCCAACGTGGATGTTGAAGACGATTATGATATAGAGGGTGTTGTACCTTACCATTCAAATTTCATTGTCATCGACTGTATAAACTTTGAGCAGTTCGAGGATGTTATGACTAAAGTGGTTTCTTTGCCATATTGGCATCCACTCGCCCATGTCATTTTATATTATCATACACTCGAAGACAAACAAATGATGGCCAAACTATTTTACATACTGTGGTACTATAGAGCGATAAATGTTATTATCATTCAGTACGATGATTTTAAAGATATGCTGTTGGTATCATATTTTAATCCGTATACAAGTGAACCTTACCGATATAAAAATGTGTACGGCTGCAAGTTGACGAAGAAAATAGGCATGCCGTTTGATAATTTTGAAACAGGCTTTACTTGCGAAGAGGGTTGTGAAAATATCCCTATTAAATCTAAAGTACGTAAAAACTTTTTTGGTACTTGCCTCGGATATGAAACACTTTTATTTGATTACTACAATACCTCAGTATTGCAAAGAATCAACTTGTTCGAGAGCAAAGTAAAAGATTTTCACGGCTATCCACTAAGAGCATTCGGTGCGGAAGTATTACCCTTTTTAGAAATCCGTAATAACAGCGATGGAACTTATACGCTAGATAAACGGGATGCCATAGTTTGGAACACTATGGCTGAGATAATGAATTTCACTATAGACCTGTCACCCGCTGAGGGAAAAATTAAAGAACCTTTCGACTATGATTTGAACATTCAAATGATTTTTGCCTTTTCACATAGAAAGTTTGACTTATTTCTGTTCCCTGTTTACCAATTTGATTTAGTTCTCGTAGAAATAGATAATACCTTCCCATATAAGGAAAGTGGCGTATGTTTCCTTGCACATCGTGCTGATTTTGAAACTGTTCTTTTCGATCAAAAATTGTTAATTAACAACTTGGGGCTAGTTCTACAATTCCTATTATGCTTCTTATGCTCTTGGTTTGTTTTCTTTGTATTTAACATAGAGCAACGTCAACGAATTACTTTGGACCAGGCCGGGAAAGATCTTGTCAATACCGTAAGGACGATACTATCTATTGGTCTTTATAATCCACCCAAACGAGGTTCATTTCGTATTTTTTTTATCATATCTCTTTGGAGTTTCTTCATTATTAACTTCTCTACTCAAGCAGCTATTATTTCGTTCTTTTCCGCTGCTAAGAGAGGCAAAGAAGTAGACACGTTTGAAGATATTGCGGAAAAGGGTTACATCGTCGAAGGTATGGCATCGCCTGATGTTATACTACCAGACCATAAAGAAGCTTATCGCGCTATTAACTCTAGACTTGTTTCTAATAAAGATTTATTCGGTTGTGTGAAAAAGATGAGTAACGACAGTCATAGATTTTGTTTGTTAGATTGTGCAGTCTGCAAGTATTTGGAAAGAAACAAAATGAATGAGAAAGGAGAACAGTATTTACACGTGGCCAAAGACAGAGCTCATGGACATTACCTGAACATGCTATTCCAAAGAAATTCTGCCATAACAGAAGTGTACAATAAATACATTTTAGCTATAGTTGAAGCGGGCTTAGTCACAAAATGGGAGCAGTATAGATTTACTGAAATCAAAGAGGAAGCGCCAGTTCGAGCCATGGGCTGGGAGGATGTGGAAGGAATTTATAAATGCTATGGTCTATTTCTCGCAATTAGTTTTATTACGTTTCTGTGTGAAATATCAATTAAAATCATCACAGAAATTAAGAATTGCTGTTCCAAAAAGGTTAAACTGTGTAGAAAATAATAAATTACTTTAAAGCGTTAAATTTATAGTGCACCAAGTAGTTATAATTAAGTTCTGAGGTAAAAATGTATAACTTTCACGAAGTTAGAAAATACAATGCAAGTGTTGGACATATTGAGTATTGTTTCAAATGTGTAAAGTTATATCGTAATAAATTTTTCTCAAAGATGCTTTTTTCCAATTGAAATTGCCGTCTTCGTAATACCTTTTACTCATTTGTTTGAGAAATAGTGCAGTTCTCGAGCATATAGGTGTAAAGATCGCATCAAAACTACCCAGGTATTTTTTAAATCAGAATAACTATAACTAAGAGAAAGGTATAGGAAAATAAGACAAATAAGGGTACCTTGTACTCCAGCCTTTCGTTAGTTAAAAGGCTTTTCAAGCTAGGTTTACAGTTCATTCCACAGTGCAGTAAACACTCACTCTATTGTTTGTACTAAAGAGTATTTTATCCACCACATGGTTTCGCACCAGTTTCCCTTTAGTCTTCTTAATTAATCTGGCAAACGCATTAATTATAACATATATAAATGTTCTTGGTAAGATGCAATTCAGTTTTTACGTCAAGCCAGAATTAAACGAACTTAAACATAGTATTAGTACGATTTGTAAAGTTACGATGATTGGGATGGGATTGCGGTCGTATTTTAAATTTCAGCGCGTTGGTGCCAGTATTTGTTAATCAGCTATAGCTATCGAAAGTGGCGACACGGCGACACGTCTCAACTCATTTTAATGTAGCTTAATAAATCTGTAAAATAGATAAAAATATAACGATTGCGTTAAAAAAAACTGTTTTTTATAACTTAGGTATTATACATATCCATATCTTTATTTTAAAAATCCTCGACAATATTATTTGTAACCTGAATTTTACCATTGCATACTCTTTGCATGCTACAATTTACTTGTCTTTGGTTATTTGTCATATTTGTTTATGGGCGGATCTTGATTTATTATGGTACAAAGAAAAGATGGTTTTGTTGGTATAACGAAAATTAAAATACAAAAATAAAACACTCAATACTTTATTAAAAAAAATTTAGTTTAATGGGAAATTCGCACAACAAAAGTAATCAGCACAGGGACCATAAACAGGCAGCTTATTCAAACCGAGACGCTCAAGCATTTACAAGTCAGGTATAATTTACGATGAAACGAAAACTTGCTAATGTCATTCTCAGCTGAACATACGTAATATAAACGCTTTGTTACTCATAGCATAATATTAGACTTCATTAATCTAACTTCGTTCTGCAATTTTTTTATATACAATGATCGTACTATTACAAAACATTTCTTTTGTTTCGGAAGTCTTTGTTACTTGAACAGGTGATTATTGACGTTAATTTATTTTTGTACACAGTTTAGTCTGTCCCATTTCGTGGGCAATCTTAGCGGGCGTTCCTTCGTTAGTCTAACGAGTAACCAGTCCGTGTACAGCGCATCGCGACCTTGGTCTCGAGTTTCTAGACGAAGGTTAGTGGATCATATATGTTTTACTATGAAATGAATATCTTCTTGTTATTTCACGGGTGTTGACGACATTGACATAACTATTGGCAAATAAGTGGTTAAAACATAATATTTAATTTACTTGCTTGCAATGAATATTTCAGATGGAATGATACAACATTAAACAACCAGTTGGAAGCAAGCAAAACAGCTTGGCCTGTTGCTCACAAAGAGTCTATTTTTCTACCTGAATTTCCAATCACAACTGACCTATTACAGAAAGATTTTCAAGTTGTTGAAGCAATTGCTAAAGGTGCTTTTGGAGAAGTAATAAAAGTTAAGAAAATCAGCGATGGGAAAGAATATGCACTAAAAGTCCTCAGCAAATCTAAGGTAATATTCTCAGATTTTTATTGTTTTTTGATATTCTTTTGATTATTTCCAAAATGTCAGATTTACAAATAGCATATGGATGAAAATAAATTAATTTTGTTGAAGATTACCACTGTATGTATCAACAAAAATAAATGCCACATGGTATATAATCTATATTTGCAAATTGAATTTAATGATTGTTTGTTTGTCCACTATGTATTTCTAATTGATTAATCTGAATTAGATACAATATTGACATTTAGGTTTGTTATTGAAGATACCTGCAATTTATTTTTGTTCAGATTAGGTTTATCCAAATGAAACTTTTTCACAGAATATATATAAATAAGCTAAATAGTCTATTATTAGATAGTAATTTTATTGTCTATGGTTCAACAACCTTGTAACAGATAATAGCAAATGACCATTACGGATTGTTGTTTTCAGGTAGTCACTGAAAGAGCTGTGGGTCAGGTGAAGGAAGAAGCACATATACAATCTGCCGTCGGGCACCATTGCTTCATTGCCAACGCCATCTCCCGTTGGCAGACAAAGAAAACACTTTATATTGGTAAGTTTATATATGCCTGTAAATTGAATAAATAGAAAACTAACCAACAATGTTGCCAGGTAATAAAATAGTGCTGTGATTTAGTCTTGTACTGCTTATACTATAAAAACATTATTTCTTCATATTGAAGATATTAGAACATGTTTAGGACAAATCATCACTTTTAAAAATATGTTTCTGTTGCTCCTTATATTGTTTAAGAAATAATCACAATAAAATCCAAAGGATAGGCAGCTAATTACTTTTCCCGTTTGGAACTACTGGCACACTTGTTCCTACTTTGCACATCTTTTGATTTTTTTTGTCCCTATTACCTGAATAAACATGTAATTAATTATATTTATTATTATTATGACATGCATTGGCTAAAGTTCAAAGAGAACACTTAGGGAAGCCGTGATAATCACTTGGGTACTATGTGACCCCACTATCTGTCTAATTATAGGCATATCTCTGTGAGTTATTAACAATGTCTCAAGGAAATATGTTTACACTATAAATGTACAATTGTCCTTATGTGATAATTATTATTTTTTAAAAACAATATTTGGAAGATAGTGAATGTTATATGAGACTAATGATGGCTCAGGGGTTGAGCACTTGACTTACTATCTACAGGTCCTGGGTTCGAATCCCGCCATGTACCAATGTTTTTTTATTTCCGATTTATATCTGTACATATATCTGACGTTCTTATGGTGAAGGAAAACATTGTAATGCAACTTGCACATATCTGTGAAGAAATTCATACATGTGTGAAGTCAACCAAACCAGACTGTGCCAGTGTGGTTGACTATGCCTAGTCACCTCCGACTCCACCAATTTCTGATATGTTGTAAATTATGTAGACTTTACCTGCTGAATTTTTCACTGCCAGTATTATGAGTAAAGAAAAGAGATATTAATGGTATTGTTAGTTAAGCTATTAAAAATTTATTTTAAAAACACTTTGTGTAGTAAAAGTTTATATGTTAAGTGATTGGTACATTCTGGGGTTTTTTTCTCGTACTCAATACAGCTTAGTATTTAAAAATGTTCACATTTCTGAGTACAAAGTATTGATTAATGTTTATGAATCAAAACAGTAATGCTATCAATTATTTGAATATTTATTTAATCTTATATTAATTATCACATTGGTGATTATTTATAAAATGATAAGGAATGACCTACTAACAAAGGTGGATGCTCTGTACGATTATCGTATTGTATTTTATCGCCAGACTTATTCACTTATGTTTATAAAAGAAACGAGGTCAGGCCTGTTTTAATTGTGTCATTGGGCTATTTGATTACAATGAATTTCCTTCATTACACATAGCTTAAAGGTCATTAACAAGCAGTGTCAAATATTTACATATGAATTATATATGTTTTCTTGTAGTTTCAGAATACATTCCCTGCGGTGAACTGCTAGCTTTACTCGATAAATATAAGAAATTACCCGAAGAACTTGTGAAAGTGTTTGTTGCTGAGATTGCCATAGCTATAGGTGAGTGTATGATAAAGCAATAATACTACTGTCTGTCGCCCGCGACTCTGTTCCTATGTGTTATTCCAGATTATGTTCTATATGAATGCCATGTTTTATTGAGATTGGTTTAGCCGTGTTAGAGATACCTTCAAACAAACATCCATCCATCTATGCATTTGCATTTATAATATTAGTAAAATTATTCTATTAGTATACTTCAGTCATTTTAAAGCTGCCACACTCAGAATCGTAAAGTTGTTATTCAAGTGGTAAATTAGTGTAGATTTTTCTCTGCTAAATTAAGGCACTGCTTAAGTAAACATTCTAACTTATTCTGAGTTATATTATTCTTGCCGTGTTCATATGTGTTTCTTAACCACGCCAAAATGAAATTATTTTGCAATGTGACAAGAGTAAAACTAACAACAAAGTTAAATACCTATTAGTAACAAAAACGTGATAACAAAAATTTTAAACTTTAAATGTACATTCTTTTCCTTTGTAATTTTAATAAACAAGTTTTGTTATCACATGTCTGTATTTCAAGGTTGCCAGACGTTATCTTCGGTCCTGTCTAATTCAGTATTTAATAATATTAAAACAATTGAAGTTCACATATTCCTTCTGTTACAATAAAATCAATTTTTATTTAGTGTTTTTATTCGTTTTTTTTTATATGATAAGGTAGCAAACAAGCGAGTCGTCACACGAAATCGCTGAAATAGCGAATTACCCCTGCCCAAAGACATACGCAATCGCATATTCGTAAACATAATAAGTATTTTGTTACCATCGCAACGCATCTGCGGTTCCTCTGGTATTGCTGATGTCCATGGGCGTCGTTGAACACCTCGGTGTTCCCGCTGCTCGTTTGCCCCATTCTGTTATAAAAAAAAACCAACTATGCTTCATAAAAATAGTCTTAAAATTTTAACCTCCTAATATTGTTCTTGTAAATGTTGTAATGTTTTTTTTTACTATAAGCCCAAGCTTGACTACAATCCCACCCGATGATCCCATGTAAGGAATTTCTAATCACATTCCTTAAATATATATGTTTTTGTTCATCTTTTCTTGGATTGTTTACAGATTTTCTCCACAACGCGGGTGTTATCTACCGAGATTTGAAGCCAGAGAACATACTTTTGGACACGGAGTACCACATTCGACTCGTTGACTTTGGCCTTTCGAAGTGGCTGTCTATCGGCTCGCGGACGACTACACTCTGTGGCACTCTTAAATATATGGGTGAGTTGTTATTTCAAATAATTTTTTCATCTTCTTGTTCTCGGACACAAATAACAGGTACGACGGTATAACTAAAACGGTCATTTTCCATTTTCAGTGTGGGATTTGACTCGTTGAATTGTTTAAGTGTGAGATGGGTCGGTGCGCCGCCGGCCGCGTCACTTTTTCCCTCGAGACGTACTCGGGCAGTGCTTAGCGGCGCGGAGCGAGGTGATTATGTCAGTGGCGAGGCGCGCGGCCCGCCAGTGACGCCGGCGACATGAACGCCCGCAGCATCTCCTTCGAAATGTCCATGGAGGGCCGGCAGGTGGACGAGGTGGTGGCCAGCATCTTCCACACGGTGCTCTTCCACCGGTCCAGCGGCAAGTTCACCTACAATAACGAGGAGAGCTACTCGATCCGCACCGTCAGTTACATCGACGTGGACTGTGATTTCATAGACTTCACGTACGTGTGCTGCGAGTCGGATGCGCTCGGACGCTGCGTCAAGAAGGAGATCTCCGAGTTCTCTGATATGCTGCGCACCGCGAGCTCGTGTCCGCCGCGAGGCTCCATCAGCCTAGAGTTCTTCCAGAAGCGACGCGCGCGTTGGCCCTTCCAGCCCGAGTGCGTGCCCTGGGAAGTGTGGACGGTGTGCTGCGAGCTCACAGAGGCGCGCAACGACCACGATATGCACTCGCGTCACGAGAGCGTCGTCGAGATGTTGCAAGATAAAATCGTGCACATAACCGAGATCATCAACCGACACGAGTACGTGCCGAAGATGCCGAGCCGCTCCGATGCCGACCTCATATTTGATACATCGTACGCGGATATCCAGCCTTACCTTTTCAAGATCCAATACAATCTGTCAGGCGCGCCGCCCACCTCCGTAGGGAATACTGTGCGTAAACTCATCCGAGACACTCTGTCCTTGTGACTACTTGCATCTCCATGTTTTTTCATAGAGTTGTGGTTGACCTATGAGTTGTGTAACATCGTATCTCCCAAGTCGATATTAACCATTAGTACCGTATACTTCGCAGTTTTATTTTGCTCGTATATAATTATAGCGCATTCGTAAAGTTCGATGGAGTAGTCATATATATTAAAGTAACGGTATAACATGTAATGTGCAATCGTTAATAAAGTGTGGCAATTATGTAAATAATAGATTATAATTAGTCCTATGTTGTTTTTCTGACTATATATTTTTATTAACGTGAAATGTGTGAATTATTTAGTATTTGATATCTTAGTAATATTGTACTTATTTAGCACAAAATTATGTATATGTATGTAGACTGAGAGAAATAGGTCCGATCATAACTAGTCTATACTTTAACTCATTATTTTCTAATAATTCGTGTTATTTGTCTATTGATTGATGTATTTATTTGGTGATATTCGTTTTCTTGTAGCGTTAGCTGTAATATTATTTGAGAGCGTTGGCTCCGGAAGCTGGTTGATGTGTCCACTCATTATATCATTTAAGATTTAATTTGTCTTATCTATGTTAAGTTAGTGTTTTTAATATTTGACAGGCAACAGTTATTAATTTTTAATCTGTCGTAGTTATAGATCAGATATAATTTATGTACACTATATTAGAGTTTTCTGCCATTTTTGCGTGTCTAGATTTATTATGACAAACTGCACGGAGCAGGGATTTTAATTATTTAAATCAATTCAGTTGAGTTGGCATGTAAAGCGCAAGTGTCGCATCGTTCTTGGCGTGCCAAGTCAAAACTATTATTTCGTTTTTGTCTAATATGTCTTATGAATCTTCGTTTGTGATATATCTAATTCGATGCCACATTAAAAAAGTACACTGAAGTTTCACGTTTAATTATGACATCAATAATATATAATAAAATGATTTCTAACAGTATAATTATATATTTATGTAGATGTAAATATTGTACAGTATATAGATTTGTCTTTGTAGATAAGGTTGACATATTAAGAGCTTTATAAAATTTAATGTTTAATTCAAATTGATATAAAAGCGGTGAAGAATAAATGTGTTTTATAAATAGTGTTCAGATAAATAATTTTAAAAGTAGAAAACGGTGCATAGAATTAGAGATGAGTATTTTTCTCGATTTATAAATTAGTATGTAGTTTATTAACCTTTTTATATTATTCGATGTTGCTTTAACCGCAAAAGAAATAAACGAAAGCATACACGTTCCAGTCTTATGTTTAGATTTTCCAAGTACAATTCTTATGGTCTCTTGAATATTATTTGTATGATAAAAGTCCATCCATAATTGATGTTCTGATTTACTTTCCTACCTCATTTTGTGACTGTAGAATTAGTTGTATGATTCATCTCGATAGGGAATGATTTTCCTCAATTTCCTAGTTATATTTGTCAGCGTTTTATTCACCAAAGAAGAGGCTGTACGTATGCAACTGCGGGAACATTCAAATTTATAAAGCTATACTAAATATCTTAACTATTTTAAATAAGTTATATGATAGGCCCTTATTAAGAAATATGCGTATGAAATATATATAGAAAACGCTCTTGACTTACAGAGGTACGCAGATTTAAGTTTCACCAAATTATGTGTACCGATATTTTGCAATTTTTAATTGAATTTATATGAGACAAATATCTTAATATTTAGATCCTTCGAACCATAGTATCATAAACAACTATTGGATTATGAAATCAAGATATGGGCTGGATTCCCTGTGCATCGTATCACCCAAGTAGTGTTAGAAAATTGTTTTATCTATCTATTCGTATCTCATTTAGTGTTTCACTGTTGGTTTCTGTCACCAAAATCTCTGTATTGTATCTTTGATATCACAATGATAATGATATATATAAACGGATATTTTATTAGAATTTAGAAACCCACGGTTAGTCTTTAATAGTTAAGGGCCTATTATATAAAAAACTTTTGAATAAATTCGTCTTTTTCATATCAGTGAGTACCTTAATGTGATGACGCGTCGCCTGTAGTCTGGCGAATCGGGTGATAGGACAATATATGTTAATTCTATCTTAATACCTGTATCGTGCCTCGTTATAAGTTTTAAAGTTATTTTATATCGAGCACAATGTAAAATATTATATATTAATTGCACTATATATTGCCTTATTTGAAAAGATTTTGATATATGTGTCTGATAATGGCTGTTTTATAATAGAGTTTATGAGTGTAACGGGAGATATATGTTGTGATGTATAAGTTCAAAAAAAATGCAAAAAATCTTAGTCTTGTGATAATTTATACTATAAATATGTGAATAAATTATGAAGTATTAACATAGTTTTTAATTTCAATTTATTATAAACTAGCTGTCGCCCGCGACTCCGTCCGCGTGGATATATAAAAAAACTTAATTAGTGTAGCGCACCCATCCATCCATCCACATCTTTAATATTATTCGCATTGATAATATTAGTAAGTTAAATAAAAAGCAACTCTTCAAGGCATAAATTCGAAAAAAAATGAATAAATAGTATCCTATGTCCGTCTCCTGGCTCTAAGCTACCTCCTCACCAATTTTTAACCATATCGGTAAAGCCATTCTTGAGTTATAAATAGTGTAACTAACACGACTTTTTATATATATAGATTATCTGCCTTCTGGACTAAATTGAGTGAAACGCATGAAAACGTGTTCTATCTCTGATATGTAATTTCCCCTTACTCTGGGTTGAAGTAAAGTAATTTTCTCCTGAAGAGAACTACGTCAGTATATTAACTTAGCTTGATGTTTACAATCCAAGTGGCAGCATCTATAGGCTGGGTCGGCGTTAGGGTAGGGAGCGGTTGGGCGACCGCCCAGGGCGCTGAATAGAAGGGGCGCCACAGGTCTACGAATTACACAATCTTCCGTAACCTTGTTACCTCCCTCCAAACTTATTGGAAAGAGAGTAAGCCTTAGAAATCTCCCCCGGGGCGCTAGTAGAGCTAAAAATGTTACTGTCTAGTGGTTCCCTATGATGGAAAAGATTGAAAACAATGAAGATAAGCAAAACTGGGGTAAAGTACCTCTATTTCGAGGATTATTTTATCTACCAATTGCTTCAAAACAATCATATGTTAGCTATGTATGTTATTGTTGATTGAAAAATGTATTACATTTCACACTCGTGGTTCCCAAACAGGATGTACCACTTGTAGCCGATGTTAGCAATTGATGCTGTCAGTTTTTATTCATGCTAATCCCTTAGTGTCGGTTATGTAATGTATCGTAATAACACATCAATTTTATGTATTTGCTGCATTTCTTGACAGTAAAATTACTAACTACAGTTTGACTCTTTGATAGTATAATTTAATGTAGCTGTTGTTTGGTTACGTTACTTTTAAAAAGAATTGATATGGTTTGAAAAATTAGTTTCGCATTTTTAGTACTAATATGACATGAGTCCGTTAATATACAAGAGAAGTCAGGAGTCAGACAGAAAGTACAATAAATCGATGTATTTTCCTTGTTTCATTGTAGATCTATTCTTTTTCGTTGTGTCTTAATACAGTCAGTTTTGCTTGTTCGTTTTTAAAAATTTATTAGTAGTTTTCAGTCGTATACTAATAAGATATAATTACGGTTTATATTGCATGGTTTTGGTAGCATAGTTTAGTACTAAGTGTGTGTCCTTTCTCGTTGTCCGTAGCCCCTGAAATTCTTAGTCGGGAGCCGTATGGTCATGCTGTGGACTGGTGGTCGTTGGGCGTGCTTGCTTGTAGGATGTTGACTGATGAGGTAAGTGCTATTTTATGACGTATGTTGTCCAAAAAATTGTCAAATGTCTTATAGATTAAAGAGGAATCTTACTATTTTTTTCATGAATGATTTGTATCGAGAACATGCAATTGAAATGGTGAATTGTTACGTATTTCGAGAAATGTACCTAAAGATACCACAAAACACTTCTGTTTGCGGAAGTTAGAATTTTGTCACTACATTTACGTCATAAATGAATTTTGCTTCTATATTAAAAGATTGAGTAGTTTTTAAAATATTTAGAAAATGTATTAAAAGTTATTGCAAGTGGACGTTAATGAATTCCTTAACTTTATATTATGAAAATTTTATCGTAACCTACTGATCGTTACATAGAAATCATGTGTATGACCCCAGTTAAATATTCATATTGCAATACAGAATCGTCTCCATTGCTTAAAAATATTGTATTTGCCGATAAATTTGTTTCTTCATAAAATGTTACACACGCAGCAAAATGATCGTTTATATGCCCCGGTGTAAATTGTTATTCTTGTTTCCATTATAAAATATTAAAATGTAATAATACGCATATATTTCGTTATGCATTCCTAAGAAATGAATTTCATATTTTTATAGTTGGTAAACATTGACTTTTATGAATAATATATATTGTGAAATAAATTAATAGAAATCATATCGTACTTTGAAATGTGTGGATATAGTTGAGAAATAGCTTTTTTTCACATTAATTATGAACCAAAATATAACATGATAAAAATAAAAGACTTATAATTAAAAAACGTACTTTATTTCTTACATTACCGGAAATTCGATAATTTACTTCGTGAAATTATAATTACAACGTAGGTAATTACAGCTGAACTATTTAAATAAGTCTCTAGGTCTAATGAATAGTCGAGTGGCGTTCATACGAACGCGGGTAGGCGACCGCCATCGCTGCCACGAGGGACAGCTCGCACGCGGTTCGCCGGGCGGGAGGCGCGTGTCGAGGCTTACTGTCGACTCACGCCTACCGCCAACTACGCTTATATCACTAATTTAAGATTTGGATCCCTCGTTCCCCTTTTTGTCGGCAACCTCCTCCGACGACTCCGCGCTGTCACCCTTCTTTTCACTGCTCTCGGCGCTCTCCTCTGAGCTGTCAGCTGGCGCGTCGCCTACAGGCTTCTCTTCATCCTTAACAGCTTTGGATTCCGCCTCACTAGGTTTCGGCGCAACTACTGCAGCCTCTGCGATGGGTGTTTCCTTCGCTGGCTCGCTCGCTACGACAGCTTCGACCGCCTTAGGTTCTTGTTTCTTTTCTTCCTCGCTTTCTTTTGGTGCCTCTACTGCCGCTGATGGTTCAGCCGGTTTGTCTTCTGCAGCGGGTGATGCAACAGCTTTTTTGTCGTCAACGGTGTCGCGAACTACTCGTAATGAATCATCGACGGAAGCTGATTTGGCATCGTCAGATTTGACCTCAACTGGTGCTGCTTTTACAACAGGTGCTGGGGCTGGAACCTCAACATTTTCTGGTTTTTCCTCTATTTTAGATTCCGATGGCTTGCTCTCTTCAGCAAGGCTAGTTTTTAGTGCTGGAACGGGAAGTTCTTCTTTCTTTTCATCGGAAATGGGTTCGGCACTCTTTGTGGCTGGGACTGCTAATTCGGGCTTTTCAGGAGAAGAGATGGCGACAATTTCATCAGCAACAGCAGCGGGATTTTTGACAGCTGCTACGACATCAATTGCTTCCTCGGGTAAGGCAGATTTAGGTGCAGGCACAGATGGTTCCTCTTTGACTTCATCAACCTTAGCTTCAGTTGCCGGTTTAACTTCCTCAACAACTACCGATTTTATTTGAGGTTCATCTTTTTTTTCTTCAGGCACGGCTTTTTCAGATTGTTTCTCTACTGGCTTAACATCAGACTCTGCATCAACAGGCGCTGCTGATTTAGGTTGAGGAGCTTCAACTTTAACATCTGGAACCACAGCTGCTGGAACAGCAGCTTCTGGCTTGACATCTTCAGGTTTCGGCTCGACGGGAGCACTCTTGGCTTCGGGTTCTTGTGGTTTTTCAGACTCTTTAGTTTCTACTGTTTGTTCAGGCTTTTTCTCTTCAACAACCACAGCGTCAGCTTTTACTTGAGGTTGTACTTCATCAGTTTTAGATACTGGGACTGGTTCAGCTGCAACAGGCGTCACAGGTTTTTCCTCAGCGACCGGCATCGCCAGCGTCACAGCCGCAATGGCCATGCAGAATATTAAGACCTTCATCCTGTAAACAAAATGAAATTGCCATGAGTTTATTGGGCGTGGAATGTAATAAATTTTGTCATATATTTATCGTATGCTAGTGAACTATGAACGCAGTAAGGCCAATGTTACGAGTCGCTGGCCGGCTTCGATGTTTTACAGCAATTTTCCAATTAAGGCTGAATCACCTAAGGGCATCCGATGAGGGTACCCCCCATCTGTCACTTGAATAGAATTGAACATAATTTAAATAAATAGGATGCACGCTATTGTTGCTGCAACTTCTATAATTTGCCATTTGAGTATGCATCGTTATTTCACACGAGAATAATAGAATGCCAAGGAATGGAAATTTTTTCAAATAAATACTACTTGCTCTTTATGGAATAATGTGCCTTTTGTGTTAATGCAAGGTGTCTCGTGCAATACATTAAGGTGGCCGGTCGAAGGACTCGATCGGTCTATTTATAGCGGGCGACCGGGGAGGCTTTAACGCGATATCCCAGCTCCTACTGGAATGCGGTTTGGCGTCGATCCACAAATAGATTAGATTATACTTCGGGCTATAAATTACCTTATATTACCTACGTTTTTTACTATTATTACGACTATTTACATTCATTTTCATATTAGAAACTGCCTTTAGTAAGGATTTACAATGTAAACCATGTAGTTGAGGTTCGAGGCGTTTATCAGAATTCGTCGATTATTTTGATATGATTTATTCTAGAAAAGTTTTGTCATAGATTAATAAAAACAGAAGACGGTCTGTGACTTCACACAAGATGGACACTTCCTAGCGCGTGCTTGGTTGGCAGGATGCGAAACGCGCGTCGGTAATATGGATGATCCGGCCAGACGAGTGAGGAACGTTACCTGAATTGTAATCGGCTCATTGAATAGAATCGGCAACCAGAATGCACAATAGATGGCATCGCATGCGTGCTGTGATTCATTCTAAGATCCGTAAGTACATGATGTATGAAACAAATCAGTTCCAGCAAAGCACACCTATCTTATCTGGAACTACGAGGACTTTTTTCTTGACTACATATACTTTGTGTAGTGGACCTAACATTTCAATTGTTTTTAATTAAAATTAGTCTATTATAAAAATATCAAAAGCCAAAAGAGTGCATTAAACTCATATATCAGATGAGCTGGATGTTATTTACAGGTTTTTATCCGCCGTAATCAATGGCTCCAAATAAGTACATAATGACTTTCGTAACCCTGGTCTTGCACGATTGTTACCTGTTATTACGCTCGACCTGTTTCTACATGTAATAAATGTCTTTTACATTTTTTATGCATCTGGCTCGAACAAAACGGCGCCAGAGATAAAAAAGATCCAATTTTACAGCGAACCTATTTCGATTTAATAAGACAAATGAAATGCTGTAGAACTGGCTCTTGAAAACTTTTGATATGTTTTCAGCTAGAACATTTATTAACTATGATCGATTTGAGTGCTTTAGCCCTTTGGAGGAAAGTTAAAAGGAAACTACCACAATACCGTAAAATATGGTAGTCGTTTATTTCAACTCTTTTGCCATCTACTCCTCATCGCTATCCTGATTGGTACAAAATTAATGTTTTATTCATATGTAATATTTATGTCAAAGCGGCGCGATGTTAGTTGCAAAACGGATAAGGTTGATATAAAAGATTGTTCGCGAGTTATTTTCTGGAAGGATATCCTCGGCGCGGCTGAGGGCAAGGATTGTCGCCTTCCCACACAGCGGCCAATCTTCCAATTGAAGCAGCGCATGCCCAGCTCATTGTGCCAATCAAAAAATATGCCGGCGGCGGCTGTTAATACTTGTGTGGTGCTTTTCCACGTGACGCGATGCTCCTCAATACAAGCACCATGTATCGTTTTTGTGACAATTTCGATTGATTATGTATCGACTTTCATATTAGCACCGGATCATCATTTTATTCAATCGGGTCAAATCGTCATAATTAGCATTTATAATCCCCACCAAGAGGCTTCTAGCCTACCCAAGTTAGGGTTGACGCCAACGCCGGATTGGTATACACGGCGGGGATCGATCCTAGAAGGGCAGATATCGATCCGGTAAGGTGAAGCGCTAACAATGCGCCACTGACGCGTTACTATTTGGGTCTAGACTGTTCTAGATATTACGACTACAAAAGTGGTACTTTAAACGCGAAAGCTTTCTCTATCTGCCCTCGAGTCCAAAAAGATATGAAAGTGTCTTGATGATTCAATGAATACAAAAACAATGTTTCATTTTTTTTATTGAAATGTAACCTTAACCGTGATCTGATTATATTTTATAATAATTTTCTCTCCTAAAGTACGTAATTGTTACAGTTGTATCGGTTACGGTCAAATGAAACTAAGAAACAAATGTGTGCATTACGCAAATATCAGCGTTGAACCGTGTCGTTTGAATATTGTCGCAATATCGTTGTGAGATCAAATTTTGCAAGGCCCGTGTTATAAAAACCACGTAACTTATTGCTATTGTTAAATGGATCTAGAAACTAACGAAAGCAGACTATAAGCACTAAAATCATGTAATAGACTAAAAAAAATCCACTGTAAAGAGTCAAAACTAATTCCACAGTTTCCAGTCTGCCAGACCAATTGTTGAATTAGGCAATAAATTATTTAAAAATCATCATAACTAAGTGTAAAATCGCCATTATTATCTCTGCTCTCTTTCCATGGAAAGGACAATACAAGTTTATTTTCTATTTACGGCTAAAACTGTCAAATGAGGCCATTCTTACTTTTGCAGTTTTTTAACGAA